TGACGCCACACTAGTCTATACATGTTAGCGGATGAAAGGAATTGAATGAACTCACGCTTCCTCTCTCTACTACGTATTCAAATAATATACATATAAAATTAGCTCACGCTGAGTCATAGCAATTCGTTTATTTATTCATAATTGTATTGATGAATTTACGTTACGGTGGTCCAGCAGATGGAAATGATGGTTCATTGCCTTTAGCGAACAATTATGCAAAATATCTGAGAGGTAAAACCAATTTTTTTTTTCACTAATTGGCCTGGAATTGCTTCTTAGTAACTTTCCCATGAATTTCATACCGATGACATTTAACACATGGACGTATCCGAGGAGACCCTCCTAATTCAGTAACAAAATAAATTTCCGCAGTTTGCAAAGTAAAAACTTTCAACAATTGTATGCTCCAAAATTGCATCGAATTTTCTCCGAGTTTTTTTTTTGTTCGAGACAAATAGACACAATTAAGTTATTAGACTTTGAAAAAAGCGGCGCCGGTGGTGTAGTGGTAAGCGTGATTGCCTCTCACCCCAGCAGGCCTGGGTTCAATCCCAGTCGGCGCCGCCAGGATGTTCTGAGCCATACCATCTTCGATCACGCCTTCCTTCGGAAAATTTCAACAATTTAAATAATATTTAATTGAACTTGTATAAACTTACACTCACTCAATATTGGTCGGTAAATTCTCCATAACTAATTAGTTCATTTACTTTTGCTGGAATCTCGGCAAAATATCTATTTGTTAGCTGAGATCTCTGTTAAAGTCTCAGCTAACAATGTCTCGGCAATTGTTTGTAGCGTGCCAGTGCGGTGTTACTCCCAGCACTGATGAGACCTCTATCTCCAAGCCTCATGGTCGGCACACGCTCGTGACAATTCCGCGAACAAAAAAAAAACACTCAATGCTGGCTACGGATAAAACTCCTACTTTATTCGCTTCACACTTCACGGACAGTCTAGAATCTGACGTCTTCCACTTTCATAATTGCCTACTCCTACTAGCACTACTCTTCATTTTGTATTCGGGGCCCCTTCACCTTCCACTGTCGTCGTCGTCGTTCCTCTCCTTCATCTGGTACCGCATCACCTTCTTGGACCAGGGGTGAACGCCTCTACCTGTCCCGTACGCCCCTCGAGTATGGTGATGGACTCGAGGCTTCAACGAACCACAAGGGTAAGTTAGCTTGCCTGTATTGGTGTGGCTCACTGTAGCTGTGGGATCAGGTTCACGAACTGCGATTCGCCACCGGTGTTCGGCGTGGTCGACTCCGAAAAAATACGTTAATACCGTAAACGTTACGGTAAAACCGCGAGGTCCTGTGGGCGCGATGGAGAATTCGAAATGGGTGTTAGCGATTGACATGATCTCACTAGACAACGGTCGGATCTGGTTCGTAGTTTTTGGTGACGGTAAGTACCTGGATGTCCAATGGTACGTGGCAACTTCCTCTACAACTCCTTTAACCTTTCAACTTATCTCACTTTAGCTTTAGTTCTCATTAAAACTATTAATTTTTAGCTTAGACTTTCACTTTGTGACCGTAGTCTCTAATGATCACCAGGCTTATGAATGTGCCGCTTGGTGAAAGATGACTACGCACCGTGACCGTTGAACCGTCGTACGTGCCACGAATTCTCCACGCAATGACCCCCATATGTGCGTCCATTCATCACTGCACACAGCGTCCTCTAGCGGTGGCTAGTGGCATTGTCCTACAATTTATAGGGAAGTGTCTCCTAATGGCTGCGTTCGTTCTGGGACGTTTACCTTTTGCAAACATTTAAACCTTTTCTTGGAATTTAATTACAAAATATACGAATACTCCACGCGATTAATCTCACCAATCTTGGACGCAACACTTACACTTGGCCGTTGAAATCTTGGAATTTAGAATTAAGTGTCCAATACGAACATGAAGAGAATTATGATGAGAATTGGAATATTTCTAAGGGCTTCCTGAAGAATACTACTAGGTAATTGTGGAAAGTATTTTTTTTTTAGAGATTTCGAGGTTGATTCCAAGTTAAATCTGAAAATAATTCCATGGCCTTTGGGATGAGAACTTTAATGGCATTCTAAAAGAATTCGAAGGAAGTTATAAATAAAATTACATTATAGTTCTATTTATTTATAGTTCACCGCCATCAACCACATAGTCGTACAGACTGCTTAAAATGACTTAATCCAATTCTTTATAGACTAATTTACTTATGTTGAATTCAAATAGGTACATGGTAGGCTTCATTGAAGGCTCAGCACCAAGGTTTACTGATTTCTCAGCTGGCGGGCAGGTACATTTAAGCACATATTCTGAAATATACTGTTACAGTCGATGATGCCGGTTAAAATGTCCAAGTTGTACAACCTGAGCATCAACCGTCTGCTCTCTAAAGTTTGCATTCCAACTGACGAAGCGTTCGATTCGTTTGACATGAACATTATGATATGGAGTCCAAACCTTTACGGTATATTCTTTTACACTTCGCACTAATAAGCAATACAGTGACTTCAAAGTATAAACGTCGTCGAAATGAGTTGTATTACGGCGTATGAATCCAACCATCGCATACGCTTTAGCAACTGTTAATGAGATGTGTTCATGAAACCGCAACTTGCTGTCAAGAACGACTCCTAGATCCTTGATCGAATTGACTCTTTCTAATGGTGAGAGCAGTTCAGTAGTCTTTCACAATTGGAAACCGAGTAGTTCTGAATACATGAGGAGCAGAAGGAGAAGTTCAGATGAAATACAAAGGACATTCTGGTTGATTGTCTTTATTAGGAGATTGTTAGCCCGAGGCTAACCAGGGAAATGTTTAGCATAGAAACTTTAAGCATGCACAGCTAAAAAAGAGTAGTGTAAATTTCCGTTACTATGATGCTCATAAATGGAGCGTCATAAATCATACAAATTTACATTATAAATCGTGTAAATTTATGAGACATGTCATGCAATATTCCATATATTGTATGCAACTTTTCACCTTTGTTTGCAACATTTCTTGCAAGCTGCTAGTTTACGTGAAAAGGAAGTTTACATGCATGAATGTTTGCATGCATGGATGTTTACATCACCAGTAAAATTCGGATTTTTTTAGTGTGTGGTTCCAAAAATTGTTTCATGATAATTTCAAAGGAATTTTGATCATAATTCCGAGAATATTTCCTAACAAAGTTCACAAGGATTCTGACATGAATTCTAATATAATTGTGATAAAAAAAATCCAAGGGAATCCTAAGGTAGATATCACACTTCCAAAAGTATTCTAAGAGGAATTGCTTTGGGAATGCTGAGGAGTAATAGTTATGGGCAGAACTGCAAGGTAGACTCTGAATTCCCAAGTAACAATGTTGGTTTTATGAGGGTTCTGTAGAGCATGATTTGGACTTGTAGAATGCTTTAAAACCTGGATAAAACTTGCAATGCTATTTGGGTTATGATGAGGATTCCATGGGGATTGTAAGAAGAATTCCAACAGTATTTTGAAAAAAATCTCGATTTTGGAAAACAAAAATTTGATTTGTTTTTTTTTTATATTCTTTAGTAGCATTTTATCAACCAAAAATTTACATGATTCACTTTGGATGTACCTATTTATTCATATTGCAAACCCATTTTAGCACTCAATTGTGACACGTTGAAAAAAAATCGAACCCGTTCAAATTTGGTACTGGGTTTGATTTTCGAGTGGATTTTGGAAATAATGTTTTTTTGCGCCTTGTGATCACATTTTTTAATAAAAGATTAACTATCAATAACACACTTACAAAATAATACCGAACTCAGTTTAATTTCTTACCGAATCTCTACGGGTACCAACGAGAAACCGAATAAAATAGTATAAATTTGACAGATAGAAACGAAGGCTGACCTTGCATCTGCATTCGAGGTTGAAATCAAACCGAGTTCGGTATTATTTTCTAAGTGTGAACGTCTTTGACATAAAGAGGACCCATGGTGGTACAAAATCAACGAAATCATAAATTAAATTCAGAAATAAAACCGTTCGATTATGGCACGGTTCGACTTTGGCAACACTATATTTTCGGGCTTGTTGTCAAAATCGAACTGATACTGTCTTTGGTCAACATAAATGTTGCCAAAAATGAGACTCCGCTGTATAACTACTGATTGGTTTGATTTCTTTGCAGTTTGTAATTTTAATCACGTTTTTATCGACTTTTTGTAATTATGAATGATTTTATATTTATTCATGTTAATCAGCGTATTACTTTTAATATGAATTTACTTATCTTTATTTGCTTCTTTTGAAAGCATTCATTATTTGCCATCATGTGCCCTTAGATGAGGATATTATTTAAGAATTGTATGCAGGGTTGCTTCTACTCTCTTGATATAAAAAAATTATTTTTTGGAGTTATGCAATCATTAGATGTTATAATGATATGTTGTACTAGTAAGTAACAAGAAGAGGGTGTAAGGTATGTGTTTGACTCATAAAACCTGTCAATTTCGCTTTCAGAGCGTCACAATAAGCGATCTTACACACCAAAAAATTATGAATATAAATGGTGATGTAAATATCCATGCATGCTAAAATTGAAGCATGTAAACTTCCTTTTCACGTAAACTAGCAACTTGCAAGAAATATTGTTTACAAAGATGGATGGTTGCATACAATAATTAGAATATTTCATTAAATGATACATCATACAAATTCACATTACAGATCGTGTAAATTTATGAGTCATTTAATGAAATATTCTAAATATTGTATGCAACCATCCATCTTTGTAAACAAAATTTCTTGCAAGTTGCTAGTTTACGTGAAAAGGAAGTTTACATGCTTCAATTTTAGCATGCATGGATATTTACATCACCATTTATATTCATAATTTTTTGGTGTGTAGCATTATACTATTTCATGATTTCATAATTCCGAAAAACATTTTTTTTATAGCAAGTGAGTGGAAGTAACCCTGATTGTATGGAATTGTATCTGCAGAAATAATGCTCATTATGATTTCAAACACTTACCAAAACACAAACGAAGTAATAGCAACTTCCGCGCTATGTGTCGACGATGTGTCAACGCTGAAAAATGCACACCAAATGTATAAATTGGAACACGCAGAAACCGCGATAAAAATGAACGTTGCCAATATTTCGCTTCCGTTATCACAAAACAAACAACAGCGGGCTACGTGTTAACCAACCAACGGAATCGCTGATAAAGGCTTCTTCTTTTTCGTTGTAATGTCGATACCCTTTTCCGATCACATCACCATATTCAACTTCTTGCGATTCAGAAGAGCAGCACACTTTACTCACTTGTAGTCAACTCATTCGTTAGATTATTTAATGCGAATAATGACCAAATTTCCAGAACACAAACACTGACTGCCTTGCACTACGCTAAAAATAAACTTCCTCTGTTCTCACACTCATTGAACTGAAATCGGGAGAAAAAGGCCATAATCAAACTAAATCAACTGCGGCATCCGAAGGGAGGCAGCGACACTCCGAAAATAACGAATAGATTTAAATAACAATGAATATATCCTCACTTGTATTTCGCCGATGTCGATGCCGGAAAACAACAATGTTTTTACTAAACAACAAATCCGAGTCAAGGTTTAAAAATTGATTATAACTCGCGATTACACTAACCGTACCGTCTACCGTGTGCGTATCACGCGACGTTTCTCAGTTGACTAATGTCCGCGTCCGCACTACACAGCTGTGTGATGGCGAGCAAGAAGTTTGTAAATCATCGATGCAACGCGGAGAGCGTTGTTTTATTATTGTTTATTGTGTGCTATATGGAGTAGTACTGTGATCGTCTAGTAATTAGCGCAACGAACACCGACCTACTTTCTAATCGTTCAATGGATCATATCACTCGAGTAGTTTAAAATGTCGTATCCTACCACTTGAACTTTGCCATGGAACATATTTTGAAAAAAAAAATCTTCTAGAGCCTCGAAAAAATAGGGGCTTATGTACTTATGCTAAGCTAGAAGCATCTGGAATTTATTGATTAATTTTCTTAAAATCGCTGGCAAAAGGTCGTCTCAAAACTGCTCGACAATATCATTAATTCACTCATCAAATGGATCACATCATTCGAGCAGTTTTAAATGACCACTCGAACTTCGTCGTGGAACATTATTTTGAGTTTTGTTTTCTATTAGAACCTCGAGAAAATAGCATCTTATATATGCTCTCCCTAATCAGTAATTCGTATCCTCATTTTCTAAAAATCTGTGGCAGAAGGTCGTCCTAAACCTGGTCGATGTGAGGAATGGACTAGGTACTTTGTGAAGCAGTTTTTTGCGTGAATTTCTACCAGCGATTTCAGAAACCAAGAAAATATTATTTTTTAAATGAAAGTATCAAAATTAGGCAACTTTTCTCTTTTGTCTACATCGTAAGAAAAAAGCACCCAAAAGTAAGTTCTTTTCACCCATCCCGGCACTATAGTGCAGGAAGCTAAAAGTAGGTAAATTGGTCAAAATAGTTTTCATTGACTTGTGTGCAATTCGTATGGAATTTTCCACTCGCTTTCTACCCAAAAGTAAGTTAGTTGTACTCAAAAGTAGGTAAATATGATTATACTCAACGTTGGGTTCCCACACTTTACTACCCCTGTTTGGTGGTTTTGCTCCTCTCTTTTTGACAACATTAGTGGTAGTTTTTTTTTACCGTGTAGAAGAAAAATCTCAAAATATTGTTTAGAAAATAAATCCAATATTGTAAAATATCCAGACAATTAGGAAGGAACAACAGTAAGGAAATTCCCGTAACACTGCAAGAGATTTTAGCCATGAACACTACACATATACACTACGAATGTCATCAATACAACCTACATAAACGATGACGCATTCGTTCCCTTCGTGAGAGCGAACTTTACTACGACGCTTGGCCACGCGTTAAAAAATAGCATTACGTCATGAGTTAAACGATGAGATCATAGCTATTTCCAAAAAAAATGATCACCGACATTTATGCTTTTGAGGTTATGTTGATCGTTAGCCTAACAGCGGATTAGTTTATTCTTCAGTTCAACCTGGATCCGGTGGCAAGATTGGGTCTTCTTGTTTTCTGACAAACGTCAGTGCAATCGTTTGTTTTTAAAACCTACCTCAGTTTGTGGTTCACCTGGGTAAAACTTCGGTTTCATCATGTGAGATGTACCTAAAACGTAAAAATTATACCGTGCGGGCACCATATTTGACGCGGTTTCTAAATTGACGCACTCGATCATTTTCGACTATTTTTCATTAATATTTTTAAAATTTTAACGCTGCAAATATTAGTTCAAGTGCTCTAGAAATGATAGTGTAACAAAGCTTTTAAAAATATCTCGAGAAATTCGATTTAAAAGAGACAAGTGCGTCACCATTAGGAACCGCGTCAAATATGGTGCTGGCACGGTACACAATATTCCCCTCAGATTTAGTGTTCAATTTGCTGCCTCACAACATGACCCTAGGGACGAAACCTAATCCTATTTCTGCAGAAGTCTCAAACAGAGCAAACGGTTCCTTCCCTCCCAAAATGCGATTATTTTCTTTATCGAAAGCAGCAGCGGTTTATGACTATGTGCGATAGTAGCAGACGTTGCACAGTTGTACTGTCCCATACATTCAAAATGTGTATGTGTGACTCAAATGTTACGCGATCCGATCCATGACGTTGCACTTGATGTATCTCGCTGCGTTCATGTCTGCTACTTGGTTATATGTTGCGTAGCTTGAATTGATGCAACAATGCGACAAGGTTAGGGTTTTCCATTAAATGTTGTACTGCGGTAAGGTTGGCTGTACATTAGGGTGCTTCATTTTGAAAAAAAAGTGTTCGATTTCTTAAAAGCAACCCTCCAGTTTGATTCATAGCCCCAAAATATGAATCCGTCTAAAACAAATGGTAAAGATCGATGAAGGCGAAGGTCGCAAATTGTTTGAAGTTTATATCGAGGTTTATATGGAGATTTTGGCGAATTGCGATGGGAAATTTTTGAATTTCACTCACATCGGTCTAACTTTGGTCAATTTGCTCCATTTTGAAATTTTTCATATTACATTCATTTTCATTCACATTCATTTAATATTCACCTGAAAAGTACGTAGATATTTGCATGCGTAGATGCATACAAAAATCACGTGAAAAAAATTACCAAACCTACACTGCCCTATGCGACATAACAGCCCCATTAGAATAGGAAAACAAGCAAAGATGGGACTTTTAAACCGTACAGGGCAGTACAGATTATATTCAAATTGGCATCACTTAAAAGTTACGTGAATTGTTAAGTAATTTTCACAGGATTTTATTGATATATTTAGTTGAATTTGTGGTAACTATCGGTTTATTTTTTCATAAAGTGTATGGACTCGTTATTTTGGTGAATCATTTATTTTCAGTGTTTTAGTAGAATAAAATATTAACGCAGACAGACATTCAAGCAAGTACAAATTTTATCAAAAATTTTGTGTAAATTTTTAAACCAGAATACGTTAGAAATCACTTGCTCACTAGCGCCACGTAGGTTAAAAATTGCCACAGTAAAATTAACAGACTATCATCTCATGACAAATGGATTTTGCGTGACACAATAAATGTTTGGCTCTAGGCCAGAGCCCTTTTGTGGCTTATCGACTGCATCTCTTAGAATGGAGCTAAAAGCGTGGGAATCTTCCATTGCTAGGCAGTCGAAGCGATTCATTAATCCAAACATTTCTGTGACTCACAAAATCCTGAAACTTTCTAAGAAATATGTTAGCATACATACAGTTCTTATAACAGGTCATTGTCCGAGCCGTTATCACTTGAAGCTGATTGGCAAACTTCAAGATGATGTATGTCGCTTTTGTGGCATAGAAAAGGAAGACTCGGAACATTTGCTATGCCACTGTCCGGCAATTTTAAATAAAAGGCGTAAGTTCTTCGACAAGGGGCGGGACTGATAGAACCCTTTGACATTTGGAAAACAACTCCCAGTACGGCAGTGCACTTTATTCGTGTAATGCCTTGCTGGGATAATGCTATTAGCCAAACAATGGCGATCACTCCAAATAATAGTAATATGGCATCTTGATATAGCTAAAAAAAAATGGGGAATATATCACAACAGATCATAAAGATGGTCGCAGTGATGAAAACACCCGACAAGGATTTAAAAAAAAAAACTATCGGCGAGGAATGTGTGTGTAGGTTACAGTACGTTCAGACTATAGATTTATAACATGTTATAGCGCTATCTCGATGGTGGTTTCTGTGTTGCAATTATTTGACAACCGTTCTAACATGTTAAAACTGCTCAGTCTAGCCTCTTCTCTCAAGTGTTGACAATTCACTGCATTTTTGGATTTTTTTAAATTTATGTAATTTCCCTGCTTTGAAGATATCTGTTCTTTCTTGAAGTTTTTTTTGTTTAAACTTTATTAGAGAGATCAATATGTTTCTCGAAGTTCTCAAAACTTCTTTTAACTGTTTGCAGTTCTTATGAAGCTTGTTGTACTACCATGAATTTAATTGAACTGTTCGAAAAATGTTTAAGCTTGCGTGAACTTCTGGACTTATGTGAAAACCTAAATTGGGAAGTTATTGAAATTTCCCGCTAATTTAGTGAAACTAATGGAACTGAACTCCCCTGCAATTCCCTTTGTTTTTGGAACTTTACTAAACTTATTTGAGATGCTCCCGAAATGTCCATTAAAAATCCTGAGGTTCTCGGATCTCCCCGACGGACTCCATAAACTTTTATGAAGTTCTCGAAACGTTTCAGAAGATCTCTGTACTTTTGTGAAATTTTCGAAGATATTCTGAAATTTCAGGAACTTCTTTAGGCTTTCGCAGCGTAATAATTAATATAGTTCTATGATTTTCACTGAAGTTATCAAGATTTGTCTGAAATTCAAATTATCGAAACTAATTTATAATTTCTTCAATAGTCTACAGTGTCCTGATGTTTTTAAAACTGCCCAAAATATTTCTCAATTTCCTTAAAATTATCTAGACTGCCCTGCGTAAATTTTTTTTTAAGAACCGACAATTTTACTGGAATTGATTTACTTACCTTTAAGTTCTACAATTTTCTGTACGTTTTATGAAGATTATAAACGCTCGCGGAACTATGCCGTACATCACTAATTTTCCCTGGAAGAAGTTTTCTATGTTTACCTTAATTTATTTAAATTGATCAAATTTTCCTGCTAATTTTTTGATATATATATATATATCTATATATATATATATATATATATATATATATATATATATATATATATATATATATATATATATATATATATAATTCCCTAAAGCTTCTGAATATCCCATAATTCTAAGGAACTCCTTGTAAGTCGCTGCAAATTTCCTTAAGTTTATGTTATTTTCTGATCGTCCTCGAAGTACTCGGAACTACACTGAATATAATGAAACAATCTAAAAATATCTTAATTTCTTAGAAGTTCTCTGGAATTTCTTGAAAATATCGGTGTTTGCTAAAAGTTCTCGCTTTTTTTAATCAATGGAACTTCGTTGATGTTCTCTAATCAACTTAGCTAAATTTTCGATTTTTTTTTTTAGATCTTGAAATTTCCATGATATAACACCCTTGAAATACTCTCACATTTTCCGGATGTTCAACAGATTCTTCCAAATCTGAGTAAATTTCGTATGGAAAGAAAATTGTCTGAGTCACTTATTCTCAGTCGCTGAGTTGGTATGATTGACCGTGTACAATTTTTATTGCGTTCCAGAAATTTTCTCTGAGCAAACCTGCAATTCCCTTGAATTGTTTTGAACTTCCCTTTAATTCTCTAATCTGTCTTGATGTTCTCGGAGCCCCCTAATACTCTCAACTCAAATGAAGATCTCGGTTCTGCTTTAAAATAAATGGAATTCTCGTAAACACATTTAAACTTCCCTGGAATTCTCTGGATTTCTGTGAAGTTTCTGAAGTTTTCATCATCTTATGGGTTCTCGATTTTATTTCAGCACCTCATGGAACTATCCTGGATTTGTATATATATTTTTAACGCATTTCATAAATAGCAAAATGTAGGCCTATCCAGAAGAATGATCAATCTTGAAATAAATTCATGTTTAAAAAAGTTTAAAATAGTGACTTATTACAAGAAAAAGTGACTTTAGTGACTTGGCCTTAAAAAAAAGAAGAAATTTTTTAGTGACTGGCTTGAAAAAAGTGACCAAGCCACTAAAAAGTGACTCGCTACCAGGCCTGCGCTTTCTCTCGAAGCCTCCTCCGGGAGCGCTGTCTTCCCATCACACGAAGCGACCGACACTACTGACGACGAAATTAAACCACCGACAAACCGACATGAAACTTACACATAACTCTAGATCGAGAATCCTTAACGGCCGATTCAAATGTGCAGCGATCCCATCTATCAAAACCATAGAAATGTTTTATCTTGATAAAAATAATTAGTCCGAAATAGATTAGACACGAACCAACTCATAAATTTTGTACGCGTGTTCGTGGCTAGGATCATATTGAACAGGTGGAGCATAGTAAGCTTCCTGTGCTTTAGCTTTAGCCTTGGATTTCTTATGGTTCGAAACAAATTAATTGGTCATTAATCATTGCAATGGTGATATTGAACTTACTACCAATTAATTTGTTTCAAACAATTAGATGTTTGGGACTGGAATAAGGGATGCTTATGATGCCCCTCTAACCCGTATTTATCGCAAAATACCATAATTCTGCGCAGCGCCCAATTCCACACATTTCGCCGAAGTTTTGCAGTATATTACTATTTCATCTAAATTCTTATTTTTCGCATACTAAAGTGATTAATACCTACCTTCATGTACAATTCAATTCAAATTATATGCAGGGATGCCAACAGATAATAACCATGCTTTTAAAAATTGTAAATAATGCTTATTGTAGATTACACAAGCACATAATGCTAAACTATCAAATTTTTAGGTCCCACTTGCTTCGATGTATCTTATTCTCTTCTTTATCAACACATTGAACTTGGTGTATTCCGGCCTCCCTTAGCTTAGTCGGCAAAGACGCAGCTACAAAGCAAGACCATGCTGGAGGTGGCTGGGTTCGATTCCCGGTCCGGTCTAGGAATTTTTCGGGTTGGAAAATTTCTTGACTTCCCTGGGCATAGAGTATGATAGTACTTGCCACACAATTATACTAATGCAAAAATGGTACAGGCATCGGAAGCGCTCAATTAATAACTGTGGAAGTGCATCTAGAACACTAAGTTGAGAGCACGCAATAAGCTAATATGCGATATGCAATAAGCTTGAAATGCGAAGTAGGTAAAAGAAGAAGTATTCCGAAAAACGGATTTTCCAGAAAATTGCATTGCGGGGAATGGAACACTCGGGGGAAAAATCAGTTCATCAATACCTATAATCAAATCAAACCAAAATGTCACTCAGTATATATCTGAAATGTTCTTAAGCTACGGATTTTCAAAATTATTCCGAGGTTTTTTTTTTATTAATATTGTTACGGTCCAGTGACTGGCTAACAGCTTCAAGTACCATTTTTTTAATTATTATGCGAAACGACTATTACGCCAAACGGGGTAGACCCAATTTTACCGGTTAATGAATTACAATGTTGTTTGAACAAGGGATGTAAATTATGTATTGTAATTATGTATGTCTGGTCGAAGAACTTATTTCAGGATGAAAATTGTTCACCTTGAATTTCGGATATCAAAACAAGCAAAACCAGATGTGCCAGAACTTACTTTTTTAGATAGATAAATGTATTTCATGGTAAAGCCAACGTTGAATAATAAATATTACTGTTGTGTCTTGCATATAATATTAGTTAGACTGAGCTATCATACCAGTTGCCTATATTGATGGTTAGTGCAAACGCCGCTAGGTAAAGTGTGGCGATATTACAGTTATCAAACGACATAGTGCCCCTACATGAAATGTTTGCAGAGCGTCGTGTTCCAGTAGTGTAGTCTTGAGCCTTTTTCGAATATCCTGCAATGTTGAGTCCCTTTACAAAACCACAGATAGTCAGACTTACTTCTTCATACTTTATTTTCCACTAGCGCTTTTCCCACATAATGAATATTCACATCTCGACCACATAGCTTTTACCTACACAATGTTTAGATTGTTTTTCAGTCCCTATCGAATGCTCAATAGGGCCTAATTGAATTTCATATAAGCGGGGAAGAAGTTAGCGAGGTTAGTGATGGGGTCTGCGGAATGGGTGACTTTTTGTCGATGTCTTCGAATTCATCATTCTGATTCATTTTCAATTCGTACAGCACCGAATTCAGTTTGTTCCATTCGTCCATACGCGGACTTGCCAGGTTATCTGCCACATCGTAGACGTAAATGCGACCAGCTTCATCACCGACTGTCACATGCAAACCTGAAGGTGTCCAGGATACTCGGTTTAACGCTGGTTGACCGTCCACTACTACCGATGCCGTTGGTACCTCTGTATCTTGATTGAGATTCCACAAATCTAATCGACCACTTCCATCAACTCCAGCAAACAGCGCTGGGTGGATAGGGGACCAAGCTACATCCATCACGTAATCTGAATTGTCCTCAAACGAGTAAAGTGGCTTATTATCTTTCAGACTCCACAGTTTTATGGTCCAATCAATGGAAGATGTAAGGAACAGATGCCCAAAGTCCGGTGATGATTGATTATGATGCGCGGAGATACCCGTCACCGGTCCCAGATGTTTTTCATACGTTTCGCCAATTCCGGAACGATTACCATGACGACATGCCGAGTAAACATAACCATCTTCACTACCCAGAACGAAATTGTTGACTTCATTGTGCGGGAACGCCATGCAGGTTACAGAAATCGCCTTCGATTGCCGCTGTTGCAACTCGAGAACGTCCTGTGGCTGCGAAAGCATATCCAAACTCCACGAGCATAGCTTACCGTCCGAGCTGATGGAGATAACGTTGTGGGCGTTTTGGGTTCCAACCATGGAAAGGCAGTACACCGGTTGCTGGAATGGTAAAAATTAATGATTTTTATTTTGTTTTAAAGAAGCATGAACTGAATAAAGAGGGGTGAACACGTTAATTGTAGTTTTATGGTAGCATTGAGTGCTAGTTGGAACTAGAGCGGAAATGCATGGTTATTCTGCATTATAATATGAATTTTGATCATTTGGGACCATTATTGCGTAAAATGATAACAATAAATTTTCTTACAAGGTAGGCAGAAAACTCCGAAATAGCTTAGAAGTCATGAAGAATACAGAACATGTTAATGATAGATGTTAGATCTTACTGTTACTAAGGGAGAGGCTGGGGTAGCACAATCTTACGTAATAAGTTCACGGTTCCTTTCTGCAAATCAACCATGTGTATCCGCCAATTATTGTATTATTATTGTATTACCTATAATACAAAAAATCTAAGTGTTGCCACAGGGGCTTGGGAATGAAACCGTGCTCTTCTTCCTTATCAGTAAGCAAAATCAGTCACCATTAAGCCATCGAGCCCCGTACAACTATTCAACTATGCTCTCAATTTTGCTGGATATCCATACTAAACGAGATGAACTGGATTACCTACTTAAAAAATACATCATAACAGCAAATTTTAATTTCAATTTGATCTCCAATATTACTCGGGTAAGCTTATGTATATTAACTTTTTTTGTCTCCCATGGTTACTCTAGAGAACCATGCCTTTTTTGACATTCTGAGCCATAATTTTCTGAAACTACAACCGATTTTTGTAAAAAAAAAAATTATAACATAATATTGCTTCTATTATTGGCAGATAATCCAGGCCAATATCTCAAGACACTCCAGAGATACTGGTTTTAAAAATTGATTCCGCTAAAACACTCTGGATCTGAAAGGGTTAAGGTACTCGGGAAAACCCCATCGAAGAACAACTTACCGTGTGTGCATTGGTACTGAGCGGGGTCCGTTGAATCGGTGTTCTCTTCTGCACTCGATTATCCCAGAGTACGATCTGACCTGAGTAAGTTCCACCCAGTATCAAGTTTGGATGAAACTTTGCGAAGCAGGTCGACATGACAGCGCTCTGACAGTGGAACACGTCTTCAGGAGTGTGCTTCTTGTATTTTGTGTTCCATACAATTACAACGCCATCAGGTTCGTTAGGCGATTCTTCGTTATTGTGATAGGAAGCAACCATCAGTTCTGGGAAGTGGGTGGACCAATCGAATGAAGTGACACAACGATTTTTCGACCACCGATCACAGTAGAATGTTCGGTTGAGAGACAATCGTGCCAGCGACCGTTCATCACTGTTCAGTAAAAAAAAAAAAAACAAAATAAGTTAATAATAATTTAAATGTTAGATTTGTTCTTACTTGATATCGTCAGTATCGCCTCCGCCGATATAATCCATGTAAATATCCACTTGTTCCGATAGAGCACGCTCCATAATTTTTCCCGTTCTTAGAATGAACCGTTGGAAATCTTCTGATAGTATTATCATCTGCTTTTGCTCAGCAGACAACTCTTTAACTGGAAAAGACACATTGAAACATGAAAATCAAGCACATATAAAATGGAACAGCTAAACATACCTTCTTTAATCTCTTCCTTCTTTTGTTCTTGTGGTGTGATGGCTGGTGCCACTTCCTTAACCGTTGGCAGCCCGTGCGGAAGAATACCCGGTGGTAGTTTCGAGTGGAAGCCATGATCGATATGAGTCAGGGAGTTTTCCTCATCGTCACCTTGACCATCGCCAAAAGTAAGCACTGCATGAGTAAAACTAATCTTGCTCTAGACATCTGATCGCGTCGATACGACACATGATTACTAAATTTACACTACTTGGTTAGTAAGATGTACATGTGCGATAAAGCGGCAAAGTGCGTGATGGTAATGAATAGTGGGGGGGAGGGTATGAAATGAATTTACAAACAGGAAGACATCTTATAGTGATACAAAAAGGAGCACCTATACAACATAGTGTCTAAATTTCCAGGAACGTCGGTCTTTTTTTTTCAAAAATAAGACATTTCACAGAAAAGTATTCACTGTCATTCTGTCCTCCTTACGTTCTTCGCTGTGAAATGTCAGCAGGAATGATTTTGGGTCAGCTCTATAATAAAAATATTGTTCTAGAAAGATCTATTCAGTCCTATAATAGGCCAATGGCACAATCTCTATTTTCCAGAAAACTGATTTCTATTCACCATATTTTCAAATTTAGTTAAACCAAATTAAACCAACCGTCCTAAAAATTATACGAAATGCGCTGTAAAATGAACCATGAGTTCTATACAAATTCCCGCAAAACATTGAGTGGAAGACATGAAAAATTACCTTAGAGGCAGGACAAATTGCTTTCCTGAACTCAGATTTATGAAACTCCTGATAACCTAGATAAAAAATGGAATCAAAGACCTTCAAAATTATAGAGACTTGAGGAATGTTTAAATAAAAAAAAAATATTTCCAAAGTCTCTTTTCCCATAATAATTCATGAATATTTTTTTGAATTCTATTTTTTTATGATTAAGGGAAAAACCAAGCCCGTAGTTTCTCGAGGCAGTTTGTATCAGATTGTCTGCCATTATAAATCAGTAGCCAACAACGATGGGAACCAAAATTCATCATGTACTAGACTAGTTTCGTCGGCGTTTTGTTCAAGTTAAAAGGTTGTTACACTATTAAAAATCCGGCGCGTTGTGAAACTTAGATTTCAAACCATTTTCTAAAAAGATCGGCTTTAGAGCAGAAACAAGAAACACATAATTATATGGAAGGCCACCAAAACATCCAAAATGCATAAGAATCAAAGTTGATTATGTGATATACATATATGTTGAGAAACCGGCATACAAATCTTATAGATGATGATGATTGAGGCTACCAGTCACGTAGGAAAGTGCCTGCACATAACAACGGGCTGTGCTAGTAGAACAACTAGATCATGTCCGATTCAAACAAAACTACACTCGACCCAGATAATTACTTTCAAGCTAGTGCAAAAATATGCTAAATATTTTATGAAGAATAATTTTACTATCGATGCTCTAAAGTGATAGGAGAACACCACCGGAAAATTATGGAAAAACGGGCATCTGAAAGCCATTTGACCAAATGGGTCATTAGGACGAATTTTGAAAAACGACAGATCCCGACAAAAAGTGAACTAAACAATTTTGGCCAAACGATAATCACCAAAGATATGCAACCAAGGATGTAGGTCTAGGAGTCAAGCATTTTTAATGTTTACTAAGATCAGCATGTCGCAAATTTTACTAAAATCTCAAAAAAAAAAAAATCGAAGCCCTAAGTCTCGAAAAGTGTTCAAGTGCAAGATCTTGAAAATTTTCAAAGTTTCACAGTTCTAAGAAAATTTATGTATCGACACATGGTTAATTTGAACTTCGCAACTCTCTCCATTTTTATATAATTTGCTCCATAATATTCAAGAAATTATCAGCAAAACACTTTTTGAATTAACTCTAAAATTTTCTTCTAATTCTGCAATCAAATTCTCTCATTATTACCTACGAATTCCCCAAATAATTCTGTTGAAAATTCTCATAAGATTCTTCTCAGCATTTGCCGAAGTATTCTCTCAAAATTTCTAAGAAATTATCCCTAAAAATCTCTCTGAATTCTGCTCAGTTTTCTCTTGGAGTGGTCCTATAATTTCCATGAAACGCTCGTTCAACTCACTAACAATTATCACCGGAATAACCTTGGCATATACCTCGGAACTTCCTTGAAATTTGTCTTTGAATTTCGTTGGAACTATCCTCGGAGTTTAAAGCCATTAGAATTCCCTTGCAACTCTTTTCAGAATTCCTTACGAATTATTCTCAGAATTTTCATTGATTTCTTTCCTAAATCAGTTTGGAATCTCTCTTGGAATTTTCCTCCGAATTATTTTCTCACATTCTATGTCACGAATTCTCAATTCTCAAAATCAAATCTCATCCTGGACAAAGTCACAAATGACCAAAAATGTGTTGCAGTGACTATAAAAAAAAGCAGTTTTCCTGGATAACAGCTATAGCAGGGTTATAGTTTTAAAATTTTCAACCATATTGCCAATAAACGACGGCGTGTTTAAAAAAAGTTATTTACGATATGGTCAAAAAAAGCAGAAAAATAGAAACACCTCTTTTTGAAATATTTTTAGACAACCAAAAAGTAGAAAAATGTAAAATTGTAAGGGACCTACCTAGGTGTGATCCTAGACCCCAAACTCACTTTTGTAGAACATTATAATACAATCATAACGAAAGCAAATAGTATGTTGGGCTTCATTAAGAGGTTCAGCTATAGTTCAAGACCCATACACTATCAAATTATTATATATTGCATACGTAAGACCTATTCTGGAATACTGTAACCTAGTATGGAATCCGTACATTGCCATACACGAGGAACGCATAGAATCCGTCAAAAAAAAATCCTTTTATATGCCCTTCGGAAATTGAATTGGACCGCATTTCCTCTTCCATCATATGAAGCACGCTGTATGCTCATCAACTTACAAACACTTAAAGAACGCCGCGAATTCGCAATGATTTTCTTCATCAATGACATTATTTCACATCGCATAGAATCATCAGAAATACTTTCACAATTAAACTTCTACACACCCTGTCGGCATCTAAGAACACGAAAATTATTCTCAGAAAAATCATACAGAACAAATTACGCAAAAAATGAATGATGCGACAGTATAACAGTATAATAATGTGAAGTCATTAGCATCACTATGTCAAAAGAAGAAATTAAAACCCAACTAAAACATTATAAAAATAATGCATAGTATGTAAGTAAAACATTGTAACCATTGTATGTAGTCAACTTTGCTAGACGAAATAAATAAATAAATAAAAATTTCCGAAATAATAGACATCGGAAATTTCGAATTATAAATGTGCTATTGTATTGGCCATTTTCAACCAGCCCGTCAATTTCCGGCAAGCGCTTCCAATAATTTGATATAACGTTCACGCAAAATTCAGCATATTTGTAGTTCTGTGTCAAAATTTCGACTCAATTGATCATGACAAAACATAGTTGCAACATGCGAAAGTTGGCTAGTTTATATGAAAATCGGCCTATTGTCCTAATGGTCACCATACAGTGACTGTATGCTCGGAGCACTAGGCCTAAAGAAAAAAGTTGATAAATTTTTGTGCAAAAATCGATAAATTCGCGTAGTTTGTCCAAACCTATGTCCCAGGTTTGGTAGAAACTGAGCAATTTTTAAATATTTGACAAGCAAATGAGTAGTTTTGCTTTGTTTCTCATACATCTTCTCATATAAATTTTAACGTTCTCCTGCAATTCCAGATATTCAAATTTGGCACAATTGTTGGGGACCTCAATACAGATCGAAAGAGCAGAAAGTTGACTCACCCTACTCCTAATCCTTCAAAGTTACAATTCCTGAAAATCAGTCCAGTTTCAACATATGTCATCGAAATTTACGGGCTTTTCTTATAGTCGCTATATTCATAGTCTGGCGGATAGAATTTCGGGAACAAATTGAACTGTCAAATAGCGGAACCAAGCGAGCAAATCACGACCAACAACAGAAAAGAGCACATCAGCTATTGCAAACAAAACTTCGGGAACCCTTTTCTCGTGACTCAAGGCTCGCTTACGCAAACTACCACCATCTTTGGGTTGGGGAAAGTTTACCTTATCCGATGATGCTTGTTAATTATCGTTCGATTTGCGAGGAATGAATAATCAACGTTTTGTTTATAAAATTTGATAGTACCTTTTCAATTGTTGATCTACAATATATTGAATTCGTTCCGCTTCTTGATAGATCAAAATTCTATCCGCCAGACTATAAATATAGCGACTATAGCTTTTCCCGGTGATTTCGAATTGCCGAATATTCCTGGTTTTCCAGAACTCCCGGTACACCCTTAACTATTGAGTATTTAGCATTTAGCTGGGCATCCGAAGCGCATGCTTGCTGATTTCATGTACAACAGGTAGGTACACGCGGAGCAGTTGGCCAAAATTAAATGATTCATAACTTTTTGCACCAAAGTCGAATCGATTTGCGGTATTTGACAAAGTTGTTCTGCATAATTTGATCAATCGAAGTCCCAGGTATGGGCAACATTGAGTTGGGGGGAGTTTTTGGTAAGTAAAGGAATATTTTCCTTCCGTTTCCCATACATTTCTCCATTCTAAATTAGAAGTTTTCCCGTTCACAATTTTTGGGGACTAACGGGTGTTCAATAAAAAATGAGAATTTTTTCAGTCATATAGCTAGTAAAAAAAATTTTTTTTTCAACGATTTCAGTAAAAACATATCATTTATTTTTCAAAAAAACGTCAATGAATATTGGAGAAGGGGCCCTGGTCAACCGTACGACGCAACTTAGTCGCGATGCTCTCACAAGAGCGCTGGACGGCACTGAAATCATTTTCATTTTTTTATTGAACACTCGTTAGAGCAGTAGGAAACAGGGAGGTTGTAATCTGCCATACAAGCCTGACCCACCCTAGTGCCCACACAACATTTATTAATCGATTTCAAATCAGCATACGACACAATCGATCGAGACCAGGTATGGTAGATTATGCACGACTACGGATTTCCAGATGAACTGATGCAATTGGTCAAGACGACGATAAATCGAGTGATATGCGTTGTTTGGGTACTGTGGAGGCCCTTCAAATCTCGAAGAGGGTTACGGCAAGCTGATAGTTGTGTTTGTGTCTGCTATCGCTTTGGAAGGTGTGATAAGATGAGCAGTGATGTACACGAGTAGTACGATGTTCAAGAGGTCCGTCCAGCTTTTCGGCTTCGCCGATGACACCGACGTGTTGTTTACCAAACTGAAGGCTGAAGCCAAATGGATTAACGCATTAAATGCATGAGAGCAAGAGAAGAGAATGAAAGGTGGTCGACGAGTTCGTATGTTTAGTGATAGCCGATAATGATGCCAGTAAAAAAAAATCAAGGACACATTGCGGAAGGGAATCGTGTTTATTCAAAACTCCGGAGGACGCTCCGATTGAGGTCACGAGACCTGGACTATGCCCCTGGAGGACCAACGCTCGAGGTGTTTTCGAGCGGAAGGTGTTGCGTACCATCGATGGTGGCTCGGCTGAAGGTCTCATTAATAAAGCTAACCTCACCTAACCTAACCTTATCTCCGGTGGCAGGCCCACCCATCGTCGACACCTGAAAAATCGAGCCGTGGGGTGAGCACCCCGTAAGATTTTTTTTTTTTTGTTTTTTTTTTTTTATCTTTATTTAAGAGACTTTTAGCCATAGACTAGTTCATCTTTTACACTTCGTAAGAATGTCAGATGACAACCCGGTGAAAATGGTTCTCAAAAACGACCCGACTGGAACTAAGTGAAGAGGTGCGCAACAGACAAGGTGAATCGAATAGAGGTGACACGAAACCTGCGGAACCTCTGCAGACAAAGTGGCTGGCGATATGTTGTTGTACATTTTGTTGATTTTTCGATTTTCTCAGATAGGGTAAATGGCTCTAATGTTGGCGTATGAATCTAAGATTGGGCCTAAATCTGCTATTTATCAATTTTATCTAGATGAACGCGTCATTGGGACGGTACTAATGGATATTTTGGTCACTATTGAAAATTTAGTCGATTGCTGAATTTATGTATGGGTCTAAATTAGGGGCACATTACACGACATTTAATCCATTTTCCTTACCATTTTGATTTATATTTATATGAATATGATACCTACAAGCCTTTGGGATGGTATTAACCTGATGTAATACTATAAGATGTCTTAGAAAATTTAATGAGAAAAGTTTAACTGGCATACCAATTACGATAATATTGATTGAGGAAAGAATAATGCAGGAAAATGGGATTTCAGGGTATGAAATTTGTTGTTGCTATATGTGAGCACACTCGGCAGTCGGTAGTCGTTATATATATAAGAGCAAAAGCAGTAGCGAGAAGATGCGGGTTATTTACAGATGTTTCTCTAGTGTTGCTTTGTACAAGACTAAAACTAGCTGCAGTCTCCTTAGACTAAATATTCAACGATATTAATGACATCGCTACAATCCCCTTTCGGTGATAGTGAACACGGTCATTGAAGGGAAATTTACAGGTACTATAATTTCTCCACCCATTTGTTCGACATTGATCCCGTTTTAGCTCATTCCTTGAAACGCATGTTTTGATTCTTATTTATCTTCGTTAAAACACTCATGAAATGAAATTGTCTCGGATGACACGTTACGCGTTAGTAGATCGGTTCGGTGTTCGCTGGATGGTTGATTAGATATAGACTGTTATTATGCGTGGTACTGGAAAGTTATTAAACCCGCAGCTAGAAGCCAAAGACCAACACATGGGAGGAGCAGGGTCGGAGCAAGGTTTGGATGTAAACGTGAAAGTTACTGAGTTTACGTAGCAGGTATAGTCTGAGACTAAGCTGCACGAACGATAACTGTCTACGTAGAGGTTGTACACTTTTTGATGTGGGTGGAAACAGAAAAAGTGATAGGCACAGTGAAAGATGAGAAAGAGACAGCAAAAGAGGAAGTGAAGAAACAATAACATTCACAAAACAATCATTCATTCAAAAATAACCTTCGAAACTGCAATCTCTAAAAAAAAGGTAAACTAAAAGAATAAAATACAACACGATATATTGTACAACTCTATGTATATAAAAGTGCAACTTCCATAGCAAATATACTAAAAAGTTTAGCGAACGCATTCGTAACGATATATTTTTTTATAATTGAACTAACTATGTATATGCATAAGAGTAGGAAGAAGGATCATTCTTGGTTCTTTTTATTACAAAAATATTAACAAAATGAACGAAACTTTATAAAGCAGTTTTTAGAGTGACTAATATGGATTAGTCATGTTAGGAAAAACCTACCTGTAAACTCATCCTCCCACTCTAAACCGGGGTTTAGATTGTATTCATCTTGAAACAGAAAGAAAGTTCAACTTTAACTTTGTGGTCGTTAATTATGAACTGAAGGGTAATACGAGGAGATTATTCATAATAAAAAAATAGAGAAAAAAGTATATCTGGCGGGGAGCAAGGATTCTTCTTCTATTGATTATACTGGGGGAGGGACTAAAATTAGGCAAACTTAGCATGAGTGGAGTTATTTATCTTAGCTTTTGTTTCAAAACAATTCCATCACTACCTGTCAACTGCAGTAGTTTACGATTCACGTGTTGCAATATTTTCATATATTTTTTTTTGGCTTTTGAATGAATGGAAACACGACATTGAAATGAAATGAAGGATAGAGAGCGAATGTGTGATTTCATTCCATATTCTTAAAACAAAGGTTTTAATTATGATGCTATTTATAGGATTTAGATTTCTTTATTAAAAAGACTTTCAGCACTATTTATAGGAACGCAGCCAAAATAGATACAGTACAAACGCTTTCACCATTGATAATGCTTTGGTTATTCGATAGGTTTTATTAATTGGAATTGTAGATCTGGGAACAAATAAAGGACTTGTTTAGCAGCCACTTTTCAACCAATTTATTTGTATTTTTTATCACTGTTTTTTTCGCTGTTCGCTAAAACTTGGAACTATTTTCTAACAAAATTTCGGTTAAAACAATAATTTATCAAGCTTTGTCAAAAATAATCACTGATCTGAGTAACGAACTCTATGGTATTTTAATTCAAATCGACGACTATCTGAATAGATATTTCAACCCGATGTCGGATCAATGTCGAGTGTATTTAAAGTCGATATCGACCAATTTTAGGCTCGTGTCAGTTTTATTTCGAGTCAATGTCAGGTTGGTGTCTCGGTTATCCCAGGATGGTAATCTGCAGACTTGAATAAATGAGTTCTAGCGTTTTTAAAACCGAAATCATCCTTTTCGAAAGAGGACCCCACGGTGTCTCTGGCAGAACAACTGTAATATAAAAAAAATGACTGAAACACCCACCAAACGAAATCTTATGTGCTCCTCTTTTATTTGAGGCTATTTTGAATATGTTCTAGAATGGGTTATTTTTCCATACGTGTCAAACACAGCATGCGAAACATCAAATCACATGAGATTTTCGTATTCTCATTATTGTCGAAAATATTTACAGTATAATGAGTACCAAGGACCCAAGGCTATGTTCCGGACACTTTGCCAAAACTGCAACATACTAACTAATCAAGCCATCTAGTTATAGATACAATTACAAGTCACTAGCACCGCCTGGTGAGCGAATTCTCAATTGTTTACTATTTAGTTGGTCCTGTCCATCTGAACAACTTTAACGAAGACAGACTTCAATTTAGTTGAGCAGTGAAGTTAAAACTTAGTTGAATGGCATACGATAACGCCACTGGCCTGTGAGAAATGTACAAAACAGTTTTTTGTTGATTTTAAATGGCACACTATAGCCTCCTGGTGAGATAATTAACAATTGAACTGGTCACAGTTTAATAGGTCTTGTGCATCTGAACAACTTTGCCAAAAGAAAGCAGCCTTCTATCTAGTCGAGCAGCCATGTCAAGCAAATATCATTATTACAGCCTGAAGATGGGATTCCAAACTAAACTATTGGATTCCCAACTGAACTATTCACCATTCAATAAGTCTTATCCACCTGAACGGTTGTAGGACAAAAGGTCAAATGAAAGTTATAGAGACAAACGGTCGAATCGAATGGACAAAAGGTTGATTTAAATTTAGAGAGGCAAACGGTCGAATTAATTTTAAGGGTACAAAATGACGAATATTCTAAAAGTCGAAATGGAAGATTGGTCAAAAAGATCAAATGGTCGAATCACTTTTAGTGAATCAAGTAAGTAAATCACGTAAATAAACTTTTTAGCAATTTAACTGAAATGTTGAGTTGACTCCTTCTTTTAATATGAGCTGTTCCTTGACAGATAAAAGCTGTTGAACACTCCAACTGAACATGTTCTAAAGTGAGTTCTCATTCGAGTTGACTCCTTTATTATATTCTTGAAGATTACTCCTTCTTTATAGTTACACTCCTCACCATCCATCATCAACGGATGAATTTGGTAAAGAGGATGATTAACCCGATTCGTACTATCCTTTAAATTGTCCTTTGTTCGTTTTCTTCTTTCTATATACAATTTTAACACTGCCGTACTATAACGGAACTATCACCCAACGGGGGGATGTAAGATTCGATTACAATTATGTGGGATTCATCATCAGAGGATGTTAGTGGAGACCGCATGAACCGAGGATGCGATATACCTAGCGGCCGACGGTCCAATGCAAGAAAATTGGAGACCGAAAAATGTGGAGTATATTAGTGAGTGAAATTAATTTTGTCGAAAAAAATAGAAAAAGGGTGCCGACTGGACTCGAATCTCGAACGTTGCGAATATCAGACCTGTGCTTTCTCCACTGCTCTCTCCATGCTTCTGAATATGGATAGCCTAAAAACAAACACGAAGCGCTCATTTCCTCTCATACTCGACTTCGTATGCTTTTTCTGCTGGAGATATTCGAGACAAGTGTGTGCGTCGTTCTACAATGTTATAAATAAAAAACTTACTGATATAGTCGAAAGCGTAGATGAAACACGAAATAAAAAAGATAAAAAAAAAAACCATTACATCGCCTGTAAGGTCAACTTCTAACATTCGCTGCGATGTTCATGAACAGAGGATGATAGTAAATAGAACTAACATTCATTGTAATAAATTATTGGTTTGCGTGTATCAACTCTATACTTTCATCTTCTCATCTATCGTATTAAATGTCCACTTTGAGTCTGATATTTGACGTTAAGCATCTCCAACTATGTGAACCGTTAACTTCATGCATGAAGTAATAAAAACATGATTAGATAAAGTAGATAAAAGCTGTTGAAAATTTCATTCGAAGTTTTGTCCATTCGAACTTTTGTTAATTTAAATTTCATTCGACCATGTATCCCTATTTATATTATTCAACATTTTTTTTTCATTCGACGTTTTGTCCATTCCATTCTTCATTTCAACCTTTTGACCTTTTTGACCCTTTGTCCATTAAACTTTTTGACCCTTTAAATATCATTCGACCTTTTGACCCGTCGACTTTTTGTCAATTCGACCTATTTCCTTCCACCAGAGTCACTTCTGAATCACTTTGCCGAAGACAGCAACCTTCTATGTGGTCAGCATCTCGATATTAGAACGAGTAATTTAAGTCCCCTTACGAAGGAGGCGAACGATGTGACCACCGACGTGACTCAAATGTTACAGGTAAGCTTTTTCATAACCTCACTATCAGTATCATGAGTGACTGTAAGTAGTTGAATTTTCAAATCAGTTTTAGTGTTTTGGTATTTAAAGTCGACGTTCGTGATAGAGATTTTCTAATCGGCTCGTCTGGTCTACACACGTGTCGTTAATTTTCAGAAGTTTACTATTCAAAAATACAGTCAACTCTCCATAAATCGATATTAGAAGGACCATCGACACATAGAATTATCGACTTATCAGGGCTGGTAGTGGGTATGTAATTTAATAGTAGTGACTAAAATAACAAAAATAGTGATCAAATAGTGACTTCAAAACAATAGAAATTTTACCAATAGTGACATTTATTGATCGGTAAGATATATGGTTCCAATATTTCGTTGACTGCAACCCATTACGATAAATTTTATAAACTCACAATCGCAACCTATCATGGACATTTTTTATGCCCCTTTAAAATAAAACAAATAGTTTAAGCATCCCAAAATGGAAGCACAGAAAAAAATGTTCAGTCTTGAACTTCCAATATGGAAAGATCAAGGACATAGACATTTTTGCAAGCATCTAGGACTTCAAATCTCGATCTTGGGTAAAATTGTAATATTCCACGATAAATTTAATAGATTTTGGACAATATTTTTAATGACCGGACAAATTGGAGATCTCTGAGACAAACCAATGAAGAAAATTGTGCGACCTGGAATATTATGAACATATATAATGTATATAAATACAATAATACAATTTAATGGACATAGAAAAGACCTCAGGATTCTGTGACATGATTTTTTTTTTCTTGATATTTGGACACTAAAGCATCAAATATTTTTTCAAATTTCTAATCTTAGGAACATTTTCTAGACCATTTTTAAACATCTAAGACATGGAAAACTTTCAAGATCGTGAAGTAAAAAAGCTAGGATATGGGGATCAGGATTTTTTTCGAAACCTCAGAAAATTAGTGATGAGTTTATGACCATCTCGACAGCATAGGCCACGGAAAAAAATAGAAATTTTATAATCTGGAATCAAGTTTTGAATGTCTAGATCACAGAGCTTAAAAAACATCAAAATATTAAGGATTTCTTCAACAGTTCTGGTCTGTTCGAAAATATTCTTGTCAGACTTTATATGGTGATTTTTAATAATTTTTTTAACACTAATTTATTACCAAATCCAACTATGATTAGAAGTGATTTTTTTTAAAGACAAATTAGGTATTGAATGTCGCCATTATTGGTTGTAAAAAAGTGACTTTAGTGATTTAATTTAAATAAAGTAACTTTAGTGACTTTTGGGTGAAAAACATAACTTTTTAGTGACTGACTTAAAAATAGTGAACTAGCCACTATAGAGTGATCTGCTACCAAGCCTGACTTATAGAATAAAATAATTTTTTGTTTGTCTATAATTTTAAGAATAATCTCGGATTATTACATCACCTGTAATCTCTAGCCGAATTTACCCATATGAAATTACGGAAGTTCTGAGTAGTTAATTCATAACATTGAGCCAATATCTACAGCCACACCCGTTTTATCTTTAAATCTGCATTCAGATATTTTTTTTTCCTGTTCCATTCTATTTTTTTATGCATCCCTGTCGATTTTTTGCAAGATATCCTAAACATTCCTGTTTATCCATCTGTCTATTCCGATCTATTCTTTCTATTGCGTTCGCCATAGCAGCGCTTTCAAGTCTTTTTTTGTTATAAAAATGCATCCGAATGGGTGTCGTTCTCTTTGATGTCGCATGAAAGGTTCTGTTTCATCATTGGTTTTGACCATTTGCCACAAGAATACCCGAAAATATTCCGGATGTGTATGCAGTTCAATATTAAATATCACAAATGATTGCATAATTTAAAGCTCATAAGATTTGATCTAGGCGACTGCGGGCCCTCCGCAAATGGCGTGACTGGCGACATACAGCTATAGATCAAGTGGGATGGGGACGAGTTTTTTGAACAGCACAGGACACCCCATCCGTAGCCTGAATATAGTAGTAGTACCTTAACTAGTAGAGATTTGATTATCGTACAAAGGGTGTTGCTTCTAGTCCACTAGCTAATTTTTGCCTGCATAAGCTGGTTTGCAGCTAAAATTGATTGTTTGGTGATTGGTACTTACAAACCAAATATGAATCAAATAGCAATGGAAATTTATACATAAATTGTCAAGTTATAAGGGTTTAAAACCTGACACTATTTCATTACACTTATTTGTACTCCAGTATATTCCACAAAGACGTCAATATGGAAGACGTAAGGCTGGAATGGAGTTTACCAGACGTTCAAACTTTTACAGAACGCCTTTACCTAGTACTACGCCAAAAACAGTCCAATCCAATCCAAGATAAAATATCTCTTTTCAATACGTACACATATCTCACAAGCGCTCACAAGTTTTTGCAAAAAAAAATTATTTCGATCCAAGGGGTAAGACAACTTAAGATACATTTGCAAATATTTTAAAATATAAACGAAAGCACTTTGAAGCGCCAACATTTCACGCGTTGAATAACTTCGGTGAATAATTTTCTTTTTAACTACCTTTCCCTTTTGTTTGTCATATCAAATGAGCAAGAAAACAAAAAATTCGCGTGCATGTCACGCAAATATGCCATTTTATTTGTTTACTTGTTGACTGAGCTAGGAACTGGTGTTTAAAAACTCGATTTTTTTTTAACTAATTTGCATTGTGGTCCAGAAATGAAAATTAGGAACTATATTGAATAGAAAACAAATATATTGATGCTGAAATTGCAGCTTTACCACCACAGAGCTTTCTAAGAAGTTTTTGCTAAAAATAAAGCATTTATTATGATGAAAGTTGCAAATAGGGTGGTTCATAAAATAACGAAAATAATAAATTAACATTTGTATATCTGATACAGCATGATTAATTCTTCTACAAAGTTGTAGATAACGAAATTTTATTTTTATTTCGCTAAAACAAAACTACACTAGTAAAACTTATGGTTATATTTATATATTTTTAGATATGGTTATATTGTCTGTCAAAAAATGTTTTGTAGCATAACTTTTTTATTTTAAATTTACGTGAAAGTTGCCTTCTAAAACAGAGCCTTTTATAAAAAGTTATGATCCATTTTCTCCAAAAATAATCATTTTCAAATGTTGATATTTTTGGTTGTGGGAAGAAGGGGGTGTAGCAATCGAAAGATGATGTTTCAATGCACTTGGTTGCTTCTGTGAAAATGTGCGTTATAAAAAGTTCGGAATGTGTCTAGAATGTATAATTTACGAGAAATCAATTAACGAGAAATCAATTAAATAAAACCTATTTTTTAGGGGTATCTTAAAGTTACTTGTAATGTAATAATGTAATAAATTAGGAGCCATTAGAGATAGTAAATTGTTTTTTCCCCAAAGTTGCTGTAAACAAAAATGATGCAACAACTTAGTCTTTAGCGCTGGAGGGATCGATTATCAATAAATAGGGCAAAACTGTATCAAATGCTTTATAGTTTGTAGAAATAAGGGATACAAAATGACATTTTCATGTAGGTAAGTAGTATTGTTAACAGCAAACCTAATAAAATTACCCAGTCTCTATTCCGTACGCCAAGTGTAACCACTACTTCCCCCCCTTCCAACTACAAATGGAAGAAAAGCTACGGTTATAATACTTCTGTAAATATACTACCTAAAATGAATGATTTCAAATATATACAGTTTAATAGAACCCAAAATCATCTACCTGGCTGCGTTCCTATTTATTAGCAGGCATAAGAACAATAATACCTATATGTACTAGAACATCAGTATTGTATTTAGTCGAAACCATGCGGATCGGGTGTGTTCCATTTAGGAAACAATGTATTATAACTGCTATCACTGCACCATAAAAAATACCGAGAAGACCGGAAGGATCCACCCAGCGGTACCAAACTTATATACTAAAGAGCAACAACCATCAATTAATCTCAAATGGCAACCAAACATAAGACGCACATAGAAATAATGGGTGGAGAAATTAAATTTAACGACGTATTCAATGACGAACAGAGGTTTATCGATTTTCATTTCGTACTCAACTTAACATGAACTAAACTAAACGGAAAATTAAGGAGACGACTAATTAAGAAAAATAAAGCTGTCTTACAGCAACTAGTTATGCTGGTTGTAAAGATAAAAATGAAAAAGTGATAGTAGTATTCAACAAGAGCTCCTATAATGGGTTAGTGTAGAAAGAGAGATGTGTTTTGTTGACCGGAGAACAGAAAAGTTGCACCGATCAACGTTTCCTAAATTGTTAGGATAACATAATGATGAAAGTAGAAATCTAACACTCACCGTAATAATCCGTGGCATGAGCTAAAATAACGGTAGGATACAGAAAAGAATACAAGATAATTAGTATACTTGTAACCATCACTGTGCATTGGTAACGATTACATATATATCAGTCTATGCAATGCAAATTTACATGGGATGGAGTTTTTTCCGTTTTTCTTCTTCAAAATGATCCTAAACCACATAACAGTTACATATTATAATAGCTGATAGAAGCGCTTTGGAAGAATTGAGCACGATAAGCAACAAAGCAGCAAGCTTGCCGGCATGTTTTTTTTTTTTTTTTTTTGACACATTACAGAAGTAGCAGTTGGTGCTGGCCTAATTAACAAAGAGAAGGAAAAATAGGAAATACTCCATGGCAACCGAAAAAGCTGCTCTTCTTCGATTGGTTGCATCAGGGTAACATCTATATATTTTGATTGATTGATAGAATCGAAGTAAGAGTGAGAGAGGGTGAGAGGAGCTGTATAATGCAACACACTGTATATATGGGGTTTGGTAAATATTGCTATAATAGCTATACTCTTGAACGTAGCTGTTTTGTTTACCTTTACGTGGTCTCCACCAATCCTCCATATATCCTGACAGAGGTGAGGAATGGCAAGAAAAAACTGAATTTGTTATTTTATTTCAATCAATTGTTGTACTTAGGCGAAAACAAGATCATTCTTATTATTACTAGGGGATCGGGCAGTTGATAGATCTGATTGATATCTGTGTCTGGGAAAGAAGTAGTGTGTACACAATAGGCATAATGTCATAGATATACAAAATACTAAGCAAAACATGGTAGAATTCAGCAATCTTATTTTCCAAACTAAACGATATAACTACTAGATGAGCGGTACAGTTCATTACATGTATTTGTTGAACAGCAGGTAAGTACCTTAACTTAACAAGCAATTTAACAGCTTGTCAGTTTTGAATTTATCGTTCCATTAAAACTAATTATGTCAACGAATTGAGTGTATTATAGAGAAGTCATTTTCGATTAAGTTATTATATCCCTCTTCAACACATGGTGAATACGTTAATTTTAATTGATCCGCAATAACAAAATTTAAAAAAAAATCATTGGGTGACAACCGAAGTTTTTTTTATTGGGATCAAGCTGGAGCTGCGCGACAGCTTTGTTTTTAAGCTTGACCCATTTGAATAAATTTTGCTTCTATCTTTGACAATAAAACAGAAGGACTAGCCTATTTTGGCAGCTTGGTCACTGTTTCAATTTAGTTAGAGAAAAAAATGCTGTGATGAGTGCGCGTAGATGCATTCGTGTAGTAATCCGATTGAATAAGTAAATCCGTTTCGAACGAAATATCTAAATTATGTAAGTTACGAAAACCGAGCGAATGACGAACGCCGTGCGAAACAACCAGAGCGAGAGAAAAAAAATCATTTAAAGAGTGCCACCAAAATAAATGTAATATCCTATGTTGGCAAGTTGATTAATTTTGATTTCCTCCCTAGATTTTCTACTTATTTTACTATTGAACTTTATTTCAAATTAGTTATTTTACCGCACGTATCAATCATTTCAAAATTTCGCGACCGTACCGAAAAAATTCTTAACTAAAAAAGCTCAAAGCACTTTTGACAAGCTCTAGCGAATTGTGAATTACTTCTGCGTAAGCTCCGTAGACGTAGGCGCGTTGAATCCGACAGCCGCGAAAAGTTAAACATGCATCAATACCATATAAGTGAAGACAACATTTCAAGCAGACTGGCAACTTTGCCTGAATCCGAGCGACAGACACAGTAGCGCTGTGCTCGAGCGAAGGTGGAAGCAACGCATAGAAAAATGAGCAAATACACAAACCTTTCTTCTGAGGATGGAACCTTTGCTATCCAATTAATTCGGAGCATATACCTTTGAGCGGCAAATGCCGGTCGTTTGAGAAAATTGAAGAGGTGCCAGTCTTCTTGATATATTGTCTTCGATATAAGAAAAGATCGATTTTACAGTCACGTAGGGCTTAGTTCATAGATTAACATTGACTACTGTTTACAAATGTAAGTAAAGTACTTGAACAAAAAAATAAGTTAACTGAAATGCTTTAACCGCATATATCAGGATTTCGTGTATCGAGAGAATAATATAGTAATCGAGTACAATACACTCAGGGGAAAGCAATGTCTACAAAAGATTCAAAGTTATTAATTGTCACATAGGGTAGAGCGCTACTATCGCCCGTTCCGTTCTATCGATCAGAAAAGATCAATAATATCAATTATTTCACCGTGCACGAATCAATAATAGGTTTGTTCCGATGTGTCAGTTTATAAGCTACAACATAAATCCTATTAGAGCTCATTGTATGAATATTTACGCTAATTGTTCTCAAAACAAAACAAGCGCTCCTAGCGAATCCCCTTTCTACGTTTTTCCGTAGGACGAAGAAAATCTAATGGCGTTTCAATGCGTTTGGACGGAATTGAAACTCGAAGGACGAATTTAGAATCAAGAAGCAGTATTATGTTTTAAACAATATCTCAATAATTTGTGACTCTTTATCAAAAGGAAAGGTGAATAAATTTAGAAATCATCTTTGACAGAAATATTCCATTTTTTGTTCGAACTCATTCAAAAAAGAGAGGGAAAACGCGGGTTGTGCTTAGTAGAACGGAAATTAGATCAAAAACCCTACCTCTCATTTTACTTATTTCCTAAACTATTCCTCTCCTTGTTAATCTGCTTGATGCTATTGGTCTGCTTGCGTTTTCTTATTGAAGTTCAAAACTAAATAGGAAGATTTATTCTACAACTTAAATGGTTAGTTGCCTCCCTAAGCGGGGGGCATCCTAATTATTTTGTTAATCTACTTAATGTTATTAGACTTTCTGAATTTTATTATGCAAGTTCATTTGATTATTATGATATCTCATTAGTCTAATTTAATAAATAATTGAAATCTCTAATTCATCTAATCAATCATAACCCATGCTTTATTCAGTACCTGCACTTGTGCTTGTAATCTAAAATTAAGCGTGTTTCAGGTTTTTTTGACTTTGACCTTTATTTATTAGGTGACACCTTCAAGTGACTAAAATCGAAGACAACCAATCAAGAAGACTGGCAACTCTTCCATTTTCTCATACGAACGTTATGAGACAGGTACAATCGTGTCATCTGCCGCTCAAAGGTAAATGCTTCGAACGAATTTGATAGCAAAGATTACATCCTCAGAAGAAAGGTTTGTGTATTTGCTCAATTTTCTATGCGTTGCTTCCACCTACGCTCAAGTGCAGCGCTACTGTATCTGTCGCTTGGATTCTGGCAAAGTTGCCAGTCTTCTTGATTTGTTGTCTTCGCTAAAATGCTTCACTTTCAAGTTAGTTTCCTAGCTGATTTTTAAATTTTTAAAAGTGTATACTCCAACTACGCTCACACGCTTCCACTATGTCGCACCACAAAAATACATATGGGTATGTCACAATAAAAGCACACCGCAGCGGAAATCCCGAGTTATAGTTCAAACACTTATCCCAAATCAAAATGAAGCACATATAAGATTAGTTACAATACCATGTACAAAAATGGTGTTTAACATTTTCCCTGATACTTCAATGAAAGCTTGTCACGCAATTAGAAGGAGCACTGTTGGCCACTTTCTGATATATTTCAATAGTATAATTCCCTTTCAAACCCAAATAAATCTATCTGCGTAAAAATAAATAACAGAAGAGTGATTTGTGGAAAAACCCGCCAGTATCGCACCCAACGTCAGTGCCTATACGTAAGCGTACTACAACGCGGCTCTCAAACAAAGGAGTAACAAGTGTGATACTATCACTGCTAGACTAGATGTTTGGTTCTCTCATGTAGTGGTTCATCAGAGAGGGGAAGCTTAGTAAACCCCATCGCCTGCTCATGGCGCAATTCTATCGCGGCATGAGCCGCAGTAACGCCGGCCATAAACCTACCGTCTCCAACACCCCACTATAAAGCATGAAATTAAGCCCGCCCACCAGCAACAAGGTGCAAAAGCTAGCCAAGCCCAAGCAGTGTTGGGAAAATATCAAAAAATCAAATCTCACCAACGCCCAAGATCACGCTTGATTTTCGTAGACAAAAATCAACAAGCAAACAGCTGTGGTTGATTTTGCAAGCTATAATATCGCAGCTCGGAATATCAAGCTAACAAAACTCACCAACTGCAAATCTCACCAAACTGTGGTGAGATTGAGTTTAATGATTTTTGCTTTACACCCGAATGCAACCGAAACTTCCATAACGGTTTGCAGCAGTCCTTTCGCGTCTGCCATCGGTGAAGATTAAAAAGAGATAGCAAACTATGCTTTCTCTTTCTAAGAAAACACTGTGCAATGGAATCATTTTTGTGTCGACTCAACTCTCAGCTTGATGTTTGCACGTTGTAAATAGTCTCGCAATATCAAAGGAGCTTGTAAAATCAATATCAAGCATGATGTTTTGTTCCAATATCACGCGTGATATTGCGAGCCCATGAGAACGGAAAAATATCAATTGATTTCTGATTTTGCCAACACTGAGCCCAAGTAACAATTTTGGTTTTATGCGGGTTCTGGAGACCATGATTCAGACTTGTAGCATGCTTTAAAACCTCGATAAAACTTGCAATTTTACTTGGGAGGGGAGGGCATTGGGTGGCAACTGAATTTCCGTTTCAAAACTGTTTTTTTTCCGGTTGCAATGTTTAAAAAAAATAGAATTTTACTTTTTTTTTGCCCGTTTAATGTTTGTTAATCTAGTATTAACACGTAAGTATGTACTCATTTAACCTCTCCATGAAATCATTTTGCTCGTCCATATGTTGAGAATTCAATTGAGTAACTATTGATAAACAATTAAAATACTATTGATTTGAATCAAAACATTTTTTTGTAGAGTGTGATGTTACTTGCAACACAATTATACTAATGCAAAAATGGTACAGACGTAGAAAACTCTCAATTAATAACTGTGAAAATGCTCAAAGAACACTAATAGCGAATTTGTTTTTGATTCAGTGGATCGGGTATCAATATTGGGTTTGCTTGTTATCTGTCAAACGTCAGTGTGAACATTTGTTTTTGCAACATGGCTCGGGTTGAGGTTCGCACTGACAATAAGCTTGGGTTTGCACGGGTTGGAACTGGTTCCAACCTGGATAATAAACAAATTCGCTATAAGTTTAGAGCTGGCGTAGAGTCCCAATAGCAATCGTAATAATGCCAAAAGAATAAGAAGAAGAATTTCCTTCTTCCACAATGTTCCATAAAGTGCTTCCTTGAGATTCATTGAATTTTGTTAAGGTTCTATGAACAACCCTTAAATACTATGAACTTTTCTGAGGTTCCCTAAATTTCCTGGAATTTGCTCCAATGTGCTTCTCTGTGGTTTCTCCATGTGGTTCTCCCTAATCTAAGGTTTCCACTGCATTTTTTTCTAACTTTTTTGAAGAAACCTATATCTACTCTGTTGTGGTTCATATAACCTTGCTTTAACATACCCCAAGCCTCTCTGAGAATCACTTAAACATAACGGAAAAGCCTTCGCGAAGTTTTAAAACATCTCTGAAAGTCTCATACAGATATTAGAGTCTTCTCTAAGTTACAATTATGTTCCCTGTACATATCTGAATTTCGCTGAATATTTGTGAAATCCACGAATTTCTTCTTGAAATTTTAGAAAAAAAAACTTGTGAACGTCATAGGGTAAATGTCGGCTTCGGCACCCATTGACTGTTTTCGGCAACCAAAATTTAAACGTAAATTTCACTATGTTTTACCATCAACACGCTTCCCTGAATGTATCCAAACGATTCTTTAGTCTTTCAGCTTCAATCTGATTATATTTGTAGGACCGAGCAATCCTGTTATGCCAGATTTTTCTTCGAATGAAGCATACGTACTACAAAATGGGGCTGATTTCGAGTTGCCGATAATAGAACAGCTGGTTAACACGCAGTTCTAATGGGAAGGTTGCCGAAGAAAAAGAGGCTGCCGACAATAGTCACACTCACCTGAGAAGTTTAGAGCGTTGTAAAAATGCTTTCAAACAGTTTTGAAGAATTCTGTCGATTGGAATGGATAGAGAAGCAAGCAGCAGATGAATTGAAACAAACAGACACGTCATATATGCTAATAGACGTGCGGACGCTGCTTAGATTGACGAGAATACGTAAATTCCCCTACTTAAATATAACCCATACATTGATTTAATTCCACTTATATCGCCAAACAAACTACGAAACAGAACAAATACTGAAAATTCTAACATGACATCATAAATACATCGGTATGCCGAAGTGAATCCAATGACGTTTCAATCTGTTTGGACGGAATTGGAATCCTAACAACATCTCAACAATTTGTGACTCTATCAAATCCATCAATACCAATGGAAAGGTAAATAAATGTAGCAGTCATCTTTGATTGAAACATTTAATCTTTTGATCAAACCCGCTCGAAAAAGGTAGAGTGCGGGATGTACTTAGATACAACAATGTCAACAATAACGTGACTTAGTAGAAATAAATATTGTAGGTCGATATATGTGAACCATCAGATGCAAAAGTTTAAGCATTAAACCGTCTGAAAGTTAATTATGATACACAGTTTTGGTACATTAATGGTACAATTGTACACGCAAAGAAAAAAAATACAAAAATACGCTACAAAATATTGTTGACTAACGGAGATCAATATTTTATTATTGATTCAAAAACATTGTACGATTATAGGGGAAATGGATGTAATGTTGGCCCTAATTTGGGCCCATACATGAATTCAGCAATCGACTAAATTATCAATAATGACCAAAAATATCCATTAGTACCGTCCCAATGACGCGTTCATCTAGATAAAATTGATAAATAGCAGATTTTTAGCGATGGGCCCAATCTTAGATCCATAGGCCAACATTAGAGCCATTTCCCCTATCATATATTGTTGAATTAATATTAATTTTAATTTGAATCAATAATAAAATATTGAAAGTTATGAAATTGGGTTGTTAGTGGAATACTCCTGCAACCCTGCGCTTCCACTCACTTCGCTATAAACAAATGTTTTTCCTAATTATAAAATCATTAGATGTTATAATGCTAGTTTGTTCTTGTGAGCTACAAGAAGAGGTTCTGAAGTATGTGTGTGACACATAAAAGCTGTCAATTTCGTTTTCAGTGTCAGTATCAGCGATGTTATGATTCAAGAGCGCTCTCTCTGAGTGAATGCTCACGAATCGTAAAATTGATGATTGTGGCTCTCTGAATAGCCATAATAGCCTCCAATGATTCCATAATTCAGAAAAATATTTTTCATAGCAAAATAAGTGGAAGCAACCCTACTCATAAAATCAAAAAAGGTTATTAAATGCTAAGTGAAATTAAATGTAAAATAATAACCTTTTTTGGTTTGATAAAATATTGTTAGCCATAAATTAAACAAGCCCAAAAATCTAGTGCTGCCAAAATCGAACAGTTTTAGTTTGAAATTAAATTTTTGAATTCGTTGATTTTGAACCACCTAAGCATCTTTATGACATAGACGTTATTAATAATGAATAGTTTATAAAATATTGTAATCACAAGGAGCAAAAATACATTATTCTCGAAATCCGCACTGTGCCAAAATCGAACCCCGTGGCAATAACGAACAGTTTGGTGGTTTTGTTGCCAAAATCGAACGGGTACTGTATTTGGTTTGACGAGATTAGAACAGCTGAGCTTCGGTAATTAAAACAAATGGAGAGTACTCGGTACTTAAGGTTAGGGACAGGGGCAGGGTCTCCTTTTCTTAATACCCTGCTACTTGCCATACACTATTTGCAAAAAAAAAGAAGTTTGTATAGCTTTGGTTAGCGGAAAGACAACGTCACCAGCTAAGCGACACATACAGTTGTGTTCAATATAATAGCAGCGTATGCCACAAAATGGTCAACTTTGAAATGATGTAACTTTGTTAACTTATGATAATTTTTTTTTTTTTTTTTTTTTCCTTTGGTTTGTTTTTTTCCGTCGATCTTGTTTTCCGTGCTGAGCACCAATGCTACCGACGTGCCAGGAAGGCAGCTTCCACACCTGGACCCTACCTATCGACCATGAACCGGGGACCAACGGCTTTACTTCCCATCCGAAGGAAGGCGTGATCAGAGATGTTATGCCTCAGAACATCCCGGCGGCACCGACTGGGATTGAACCCAGGCCTGCTGGGGTGAGAGGTAATCACGCTTACCACTACACCACCGGCGCCGTTGTCTTATGATCAATTAAGCTGAAACGTTCGCCACAGAACTACAAATATGTTCAATTTTATGATTACAAAATACCAAATTTTTGGAAGCACCTGTTGGAAAGTGAGCCACTAGGTAAAATTGTTCAAAATAATAGCTTTTTTTTATTTGAATTTTTATGTACTGCAAATATTTTAAATATGTTTAACTATTATGTACGTTTGTTAAACGGTTGGGGCTTGTTAGAATTTTGAGAAATGTAAAATTTAAAATCTCAAAATAGAGCTGAAATGCAAATTATTAGTACTGCCATTATTTTGGACAATTTTACCTAGTGTCTAACTTTCCTGCAGGTGCTCCAAAAATTTGGTATTTTGTAATCGTAAAATTGAACTTATTTGTAGTTCTGTGGCTCAACCGGACTAAAACAGAGAAAAAAGCTACTTACGGATAAAGACAAAATAGTAGTAGTAGTGTTAACTTTTATTTTGTTGACGGTGAATCGCTGGGGCAACCTTATTTCTGATTAATCCTACTGACACCACGAAATTTCTAGAGCACAAATATCAGCTCCCACAAAATAAACAATGAAACTGGGACTCTACGTTTGCTTCAGTGCAGCAAACAGGAAATTTCAATCTCATGGGTGAAGTCGCAACAGTGTCCGAGATTTGTGCTCCAGAAATCTCGACATCAGCCATCATGACGGTCATTTTTGGATTCTGCAAGGAATCACCTTAAAAGGATGTTAACTGCGCATGCAGTCATTTATCGGTTCAATACAAACAGCTAAATGTTAATGAGCAGAAAAACTCCTTCGCGTGTGATGTGATATAAGGGGCACAGTGGCCTTAGAGCGACCGTTTTACTTACTTACTGAGCAGAATATCATGAGTTTGATATCAGGCCCATGCACATTAAATATTCGTTAATCATAAAAATCTCCTGTTTTCCAATTTTCCGTAAAACAATGCCTCACATGGACAATACAAATGGATATTTTTGGTAGTGAAACAATGTCAAAAAATGCTTTCCTTCGAAATGCATGTATGGGCCCAATATTAGGGACATTTACGTCGACATAATAGACATTAACTCTAGTTAATAGAATTAGGTCAAAATATATACAAACATATTGTGAGATTGTAACCAAATTCCCGGTTATTTCCTGGCTTCGATTCCCGGTTCATTACTATTTTAGATAAAACTCAAAAATAACGTTTGTTTCGATCTTTAGAGATCTTTAGACATCGAACAAAAACCTAAATTCAAACAACAAAATTCAGTGCAATAAAAATCTTGTTAATATAGAATAGTTAAATGGATTAAACCTATTCAAACATTACGATATGTTAGTAATACCGAAAATTGATTGGACCAACAAAAATGATTTTGAATTCGTCAAAAAAAAAGGTTTTTGTGACAATTTTCACGAAAAAGGTGTCTTTTAAGTGACCAGCTTAAAAAAAGTTGCCAACTTTCAGCCCTGTCGGTATTTCTATTGTTTCAAATAAAACTGTAAATGCTACTAGAAACTAACCAACATAAAAATACAATTGCACAAAACAAACGGGCATGATAAAAAGACAAACAAAATAAACCGTTCGAAACGGTGCAAAACTCAAATATACGTGTGTAATAGAAGATGTGTAGATGAAACGAATGCTTTGACAATAAACTCCACATTATGACCAATGAACTGAACAAAACAACGATCAACGCGAGTGTTGGGATGCCAGTTGTTTATTTAGAATAAGTTGATTAGGTTTTCTTTTGTGATGGAATACGTATCTACTGTTATGAAAGGTAAACTTACCATCGCGCTCGTGGCCACCGGTGCTAGTGGTTTGCGTTTGTTTCGAGTACACTACGGTCTCCTTGGGTGGAATGTTCGTTGCCTGAACTGATACAAGACTCAGGTTGATCGGTTTCTTGCGGCTGCTAAAATGATGCATTTTTTTTATTGACATTACTTGAACTATTTTTTGGCAATCAAGCTTACTTTTGCCCATTTACACTTGGCTGCAGGCTGGCATCTGGGGTATGGTTCGCCGACTGGTCAGATGTGGCCGAGTTTACCGAAGACAACGATGACAGCACTTCCGAAACGGGAGCCACGCCCAGCGACGAAAGCATCTCATCCAGATCCCTGAGACACAGAATATTACAGCATTTGTTTCCAAACAGCGTAACAACAGGCACTTACTTTCTCGTGTTACTTTCTGGATGACCCAACTTTCCGGCCGCCTCTTCGAGATCCTTCGTTTCCTTTTCCTTTCGACGTCGGTCTTTTTCTTCGCGGAGGGCCTGCAGTTTGGCCTTTTTCCGCTCCAATTCCGCTTTCCGGTCCATTTTTGAAAGTTTCGTAAATTGCTCTAGTTTCTCCAGCTTTCCTCTGTTGTTGACAAACACATTGATGTTGTCATTTGGTCGCACGCGCAAACGATGAATGGTTGAGTGCGTTTCAATCGGTGACACAAAAATGACAGAAGAGAATAGGTGGAAAAAAGGTGACGTCATATTTGGGGCTACACATATCGATTTTTCACGTCGTGATATATAATATCAATGAAAATTTGAAACCTAATTTCGCACTAGCAGGGAAAAAAACTCACAATTTTCATTTAGCTAGCTAGAATCAAAAAATGAAGAATCAAAAACTGAAGGATAGGGTGTTAGTAGCAGAAGAAATCGAATTTTAATGGTGGCAGCAGGTTTGCAGAAGCAATGGGCGAACAAAAAGAAATGCAGCAGTGGCAGAGAAAAAGTAGGTTGTGGCTTATCCGACTTTTTCACTTGTGATTTTTTCGTGAACAAACACTGGTAACTGGGGTTATTTACGTTTTATTTATACCAAATGCACCGAAGGAACTATTGAATGGTTATTTTCTGGTTTCCTAAACAGTTAGTTGGGGATTTAAGATGAATAAATTTGCTGCTTTATTACCGAAGCGGAGAGAAAAACGATGTAGCACTCACAGCTACGCTACACTTGAACTTCTGAACACGAAATCAAAATTTCATTCCAAGGGGAGCAAACTTCGCTAGCCAAAAGGTATACATTTCAATCTGTGCGCTTGTGTTACACTGTTTACTATAGTCCATTGTATACAATACCCCTATAGGGGTGTCTACTTAAGATAATTCCTTCTTTTCATTCCATGTCTCTAATATGGTCGGATATTTAGGTTACTAACAGTGATATTTAATTCGAGCCTTTGAACCACTAATGGCGGTAAGCTCCAACTCGGATTAACTTTTAATACCGTCCCTGTTTGTATGATCTGAAAAATGTTTGCTCAGAATTATGTTGATTAACTCTGATGTCAACATCAAACCAGCCGGACATTCTTGATCGGGATTTAATCCGAGGATAATACCGGTTGGAGCTTACCACCATAAGATATTAATTAAATTAAATACCTGCTTCTTTCATGATTAATGCACCATATAATATATCACAACGATACTCTTGACAACCCTAATAAAAATTGTATGGTTAATTTGCTTAACGACGTGTTCTGGGTATCATCCAAACCATTTGTGGAATAGTTCAATGATTTGAGCTATCGTTCGTTTATGGTTATTTTTTATTAGGGAAACCTGACGAATATGCATCAGCATTCGACACTCCAGCTTATACAAAATTTCGGTGATTCTCAATCCTAAAAACACTATAATTTCTGGGGCAGTCGCTGTCAAAACCCAAGATGCCAATACGTTTCCGAAGGGGCTAAGCATCGTCGTGAACCGATGCACGAACGCAGCCAGCACCACGTGTTGCGCTAATTGAGGCGTAAGAATATTATTAAACCTGTTATTATACCCTCAAGACGCAATTGCAGCGTCGGTTATGCTTAGAAACGGTCGCCTAGGAAGGGAAAATGAAAATGTTTATTCTATACCTTTCAAGAAAAGCATTCCGGATCAGTAAAATTTTATTTCGTAAAAGATAAATAGAAAGTTGAAAATGAGTCACGTCACACAGATGAGCCATCTAAAGTCCACCACCGGCTTCGACGATGGCAAGTCGGACAAATCCGATCGTTCCGAAGAAAACTTCGAGTTGGATTCGTCGGAGGACGAGGAAATTTCGATGATTTTCGGCTTCAAAGAAGATGAAGCACGTCAACGGCTGATCAATTTTCCCAAGTCCACTCGGATGGTCATTAGCCCGGATCTTCAGGCGGAGATTGGAATGGAAATTGGCCAGACAATCAGTGCCGAACATCCTTGGAAGCAAATAAAAAAAGAAGTACTGGAAGATCATCTTCCGGGAAAGGATGCCATCCAACAGCAACTCAAGGAGAAACTGAAAGACCTGGATCCGGGAAAGTTAATACTGGTCGGTTATTCGCCGGAGCTATCGACTGAGGACGATGTGTTTATCGTTTTCATTGATGAACGCGAAACGAAGGACGCTAGCGAACTGATCAAACGAATCGAGCTGCTTGAGCGGCATAAGGCACGCGGCATACTGAAGAAACGCGCCAAAAAATGGAAGGACCAGGGAAGCCACAAAAAAGTAACGTATTTTTTTTTTTTCAATTTTGTGATTTGTACAACTTTTTACCATGATGATATTGTAGTGCGCTTTTACCTCTATGATAGTACCAGAGCTGAGCGAAAAAGTTGAGCTCGGTTCTTCGTGACCTTCTGGTCTTAGAGTTACCTCTATGCTTTTACGTTGTACCGTCTTGGTGACTTCGGCGCACTTATTCCTTATGAACCAAGAAGTGCGCCAAAGACATCGAAATGATTAAACGTAAAACTGTTGGTAAAACTGCAAATGTATAAGCGGTTCCGTACTTATGGTCGCATTTATCGCCATGCACAATATGCAAAAAAAAAGTTTTGCACGTAAATTTTCTCAAGAATCTTGTCTGAATTTAGATTCATCATTTCGTTTAATTTAATTTTCATTTCGAACGTTAATTTTTGAGCGGCGTAGTAAGTTTCTCGTTAAGGCGGAGTTCACCGCTTAGAAAAAAAATAATTACGTTATTATTTTTCTAAAAATATTAAAAACAGGTATAAAATACCTGAAAAAATTCACATTGTTTTCTAATTTTTTAAAGAAAATTCTTTGTTTATAAGTCATTATGGCGTAAAGTAGGACTCAAAAAACCACAAAACACCGAATTTTCGGTTTTTCTGAGAGTCCATTTTTTTCAAGATGAGATAAAAAAATATTTTTGCATGGTATTTTTGAAAAAAATCTAATGAAGAAACTTGCTTTCTTGGATTTTTGATATTTTTTCCCAATATTTAAAAATATTTTTTTTATGATAAAAAAAAAAATAAAAAAAATATTTAAAAAAAAATAAAATTATAAAATGTTTTTTTATGTTTTCGGGCCGGTAAACTTCCCCCGAGACTTCCCCTTAAGGTTAACAGTAGGAATACATTTTTTCGGAACTAAAATAATTTACTTTAAATGCGTTACCGGTATAAAGTCTATCACAATAAACTAGGCATATGTCATATGACAAGCTGAGAGTCTCTATGGAACTGAGATTGGAAACAAGAAAATATTCGAACCAGGGTCAACATGGTCAAATATACTTATTACAAACATATTTTGCTTGTTTTTGTCACTAAGGACACTTTACTCTTTTACATAACATCTTGTCTAGATCCAAGCTCCTCCCCTGATCCTATCCACAAACACGTACCAGTCTAACCTAAACCGTGAGAATTCGGTCCCACCCGTACTAGGCATAGTTATTTTTTTTTTTTTTTTGTAAACCAACTGAAATCACAAACGAAGTGACAGACGGAGCGGCTCGAAAACTTTGGTGACACACTTGCTATTGCAATTTTTCAGTGTACCTCATGGCAACACCACTACCACAAACGAAGTGACAGACGACTTACTGGCGAAGAAATCCATTGAAATAATGTGGTTCACTGTAATTGGCAAATCAAAGTTGGCACTCGTGGAGAATAGACGAACTATGAAAGTGATGATGGTTTTAAAAATTTTCCACGGAGAGCTATACGAGTGCAATCTTAAAATGCTTTTATTTTGAAAATGGAGCATTGTATTTAAATCTGGTTGTTGCTACAGTTGTAGAAAAGCTGAAATCTATGCATACACCTTAAATTCTGAAAAGAAATTAAATGGATTTCTTCGCCAGTAAGTCGTTTGTCACTTCGTTTGTGGTAGTAGCAACAATCAATACGAAACTAACGATTTTAAATTGGCTCGCTACTTGACTAGCCTATTGGTCCCAAGCAAACGATTAACGTATCCCATTCTAGTCGAAATTCCAGTACTACGCAATGTTTGTTTTGATTCGCTATGAAAGTTTGACAGGTAAAATGAGGGGTTATTGGTTTTTCCTATGTTTCAAGGGGTGAATCGATTAGCTTGGGACCGAAGAGAGTACCAGAGCTGAACCAAAAAGTTGAGCACATTTCTTTGGGACCTTCTGGTCTTAGAGTTACCTCTATGGTAGTAGCACAAACGAAGTGACAGACGGAGCGACTCGAAAACTTTGGTGACTAACCTGCTATTGCAATTTTTCAGTGTACCACATGGCAACACCACTACTACTGGATTGTACCACATGGCAACACTACTATTGGATTGAACTAGCATTTTCACCAAATATACTAGAATATTTTGGTTCTATCTCTTTCACTCAACTCAAAACTGAAATGCATAAAAAAATGACAAAATGATACGCACTCTTTGCACACTGTCAAAGAATCATTGTACACATAATCAACTTTGTTCAAATCAAAACAAAAAAACTAACCCATCTGGTGGATGATGGCACAAGCTTCCGAGAAAATTCTATTACAGTGAACCACATTATTTAAATGGATTTCTTCGCCAGTTAGTCGTCTGTCACTTCGTTTGTGGTAGTAGTGTTGCCATGTGGTACAATCAACAATCAATACGAAACTAACGATTTTAAATTGGCTCACCAATTGTTTTACAGAAGATTGATCAACCATATTTCTCCCTTCGACCTTTGTTCTTCGACATTTTTTCAAAGATTTTTATTCTGAACTGAGCTGTAAACTAACTAATAAATGCTTTTCAAGATTTCTTTTCTATACCTCAACGTGCAAAATTTTAAGACCATCATCATTCTTCTATTTCTCCTATTCGCCACGTTCGCTATCGTTAGATCGCCATTAGAAAAGAAATCTTGAAAAGCATTTATTATCCGAAAAAAAAAATATTTGTCATTTTTTTAAAAGCTGCTACGGGGGAAGAAACCTTAAAAGGTATCTGATAGACGTATAATTTTAAAATTTTATGTTTTATCTTAGTTTTCGTTTAGTTCTATAGATCTGAACATTTCTAACCTTGTATGCACAACCAAATTTATAGAAAATACTTTATTCGTTAAATAAAAACGTTTTTAAAATATTCTTCTATACCTCGCCGTGCAAAATTATGATACCATCATCAGTTTTCTAGTTCTCCTATTTGCCACAAGTGGCGCTTTATGCTATCGTTAGATTGCCAATTGGCAAATCAAAGTTGACACTCGTGGAGAATAGAAGAACTATGAAAGTAATGATGGTTTCAAAATTGTCCATTGACTTCTCGACGCAAGATCTCACTAATCCAACCTAGCGAGCGTAGCCGTGTAAAATCGATTTGTTTATTATTTTCAACCACAAAATAAGCTGCCAAAGTGTCCGGTTTGTTTTTTATTTTCAACCAGTAAAAGGCATGTATTAGTGAAACTTATCACTAATACTAACGGTGATAGAGAACTCTATGGGGAAGTATACGAGTGCAATCTTAAAATGCTTTTATTTTGTGAATGGAGCATTTTATTTAAATCTGGTTGATGCTATGTTAGTAGAAAACTTAAGGACTACTCAATAGACAAATAATACAGAAAAATTAATTTCTTTTCAGATTTTTAGGTGTACACATAGATTTGAGCTTTTCTACCCCTGTAGCAGCAACCAGATTTAAATAAAATGTTCCATTTGCAAAATAAAAGCATTCCCGCATAAACAATAACCATAAGATGCGCCTAACCACCAATTCGGGATATCATCCCAATTTTATGTGGTATGGTCGCACCATCTAAGATATCGTCAGTATATGGTACACGTTTATTAGGGTTTTAAGATTGCATTCGTATACTTCCCCGTGGAAAATTTTGAAACCATCATCACTGTTATAGTTCTTCTATTCTCCACGAGTGCCAACTTTGATTTGTCAATATTGTCCATGGTGGGTATATACATGGTGATACCAACAATCAATACGAAACTAACGATTTTAAATTGGCTCACCACTTTAGTAGCCTATTGGTCCCAAGCAAACGATTAACGTACCCTATTCTAGTTGAAATTCTATTACTACACTATGTTTGTTTTGATTCGCTATGAAAGTTTGACGGATAACATCAGGGGTGTGTGGATTCATGCAGAACATGCAGGGGTGAGTGAAATAGCTTGGGACTGCTTGGGACCGTTGTTCTGGTACTGAGTGAACCAAAAATAATAATGATTTTCTTCGGGACCCAGTGGTCTTAGAGTTACCTCTATGGTGATACAGCTTTGTCACTATATAGACGAGGAAGCCGCGGGGGGGAAAAAATGCGGTTTTAGAGCAAATTGTAAACAAACTCGGTCGCTGTCCCATACAAAAATCCAACATGGCTGAATCACGAATTTGACACATTAGAACACCTATATGTAGCCACCTTGATATTGCCCAAGCCAGCTTCTATCTAGTCAAGATGTCATGTAAAAGCAAACAATTAAAACTAAATGGTGCGCTAGCACCGCTTAGTCTAGGTCTAGTTCAGCTCAACAGCTTTGCTGAAGACAGAAATCATCCATATAGGGGTAAGAGGGGCATAGTGAGCATCCCGTGCACCAGTTTGGACTTCCGGCCGTTCGGAACCAATTGGTTGGTGGTAGGATCAATATCATAATTATATTGAACCTACTATACCAGTTGATTTGTGCAGCTGGAAATCCAGAGCCAAAGTGCGGGATGCTCACTATGCCCCACTTGTTCACTATACACCTCCTCCCCCTAAGCTGGAACGCATGTTTTTTATTTATTCACACACATTTTTAAATGATCAAGGACCAGGGTCATGTCATGTCTTTAGTTTGTAATGTCAACGAAATGTTGCAATCCTTTCACTTTCAGTTACGTAGACTAAAAATAAAGTAATTCCTTTCCAGGTCGAATGCTTCATCCCAATCAAACGTATCAATGTAGTCAACTTGGAAACACAAAGCGTATTTCCCGTGAAACGTTGCAGCTACATATTTAGCCACCGTATGGTAGATGACGTCCGTGATGGCTACGTTGAGCTCATTCCCGGGAAAGTAAAATTTGATAATATTCAGCGCAAACTGGTAGACTTTGCCGTTCAAACTGGGCCCCCAAAAATTCACCAATATCAGCAAACAGACCCCACGTTCCCGACAAATGCCTGGTCCCAATATTTGTATGAGATTTCTCAAGAAGAAAAAGAAGCAGCAAACAAGTCAGCAGCTACAGCTGGTGATGATGATCAAGCTCCCAAACCAAATAGCTACGTTCAAGAGCTACTCAACACACTAGAATTCAATCAAGTCGACATGTACAAGAACGATTATCCTTGCATTTCAAAGAGGAAGATTCGTAAATATCAAACTCCGGTTGTTGAAGAATGCCTGTGCTTTGCCGATCGAGTCAAGTGCGGAAACCGCTACGTATCAGCTATGGATTGGCACCCAAAGTATTCAGGAATATTTGTGGCGGCATATAATTTCGATGCATTGTGTACTGTGGTGGATATCGAGGATAGAGACTCCAAATCGATTGATCCTGTGAACCGGATAGTCTTTGACAAATGCCCTGTGCTGATGTGGAGTTTTGATGAAACACTCACCCAGAAATTGGAACTTAGATCTAGCCGAGAGGTGACATCGCTATCGTTTTGTCCTTACGACGGAAACTTACTTGTGGGAGGCCTGGCCTCTGGACAAATAATCATATGGGATTTAAAAGGTGAGATTGAACGTGTAGAAAAGGTTGAAGAAATTTCACCAAAACAGCATGGATATCGTCAAGAAATTAGAAAGCTTATGGGATGGTCCAACGCAGAAGAGGTTGATCAAACTGTTGAGCCTGTAGCCATCAGCGCTATGGATAAATCTCCAAGAAATCCAATTACCGTCATCAAATGGTTGCCTCGCAATCACTATTGTGCAACGACTGGACAAGTTCGCGCGCATGCTGATAAGTTACATCGCTTCATCTTGACTGCATCAATTGACGGTTCAGTTTGTTTCTGGGATTTGGATTTCACAGTCCCTGCATTGAAGAAAGCAGCTCAAACATCTAAAACGGTTGCAGATGGTCTGGCATCTCCATATCAAGCGTTGGACAATGTGTTTTATCCAATATTTCGAATCAAGTGTGAAACACCTATCACCTCCATCTCTGTTGATGAAGCATTATATGAATTCAAACCAATCGATGCAGATTACAAGAGAGCTGACATTACCACAAGAATCGAACATCAGGCTCAGCCAATAGCAAAGGAGTATCATATGAAGATGGTTCTTGGAAGTTTGTTGGGGGATATAATCCAAGGTTATTGGGAAGGTCATGACTTTGACCAGGGAGCAGCAACCAACGAAGAAGTTCTGAAAGAAAAGAATAAATTTGCAGTAGTGCACGATGGATCGATATTGTCGTTGGAACGCAACCCATTCTGTAGCGATATATTCTTAACCATTGGTGGAAATGTTTTGGCCCTGTGGAGCGAAGAATGTCTCAGCTCAGCAATATTTTGGAGGAAACGAATTACTCGTGTGACCGCTGGAAAGTGGAGTTTAGATCGTGCTTGCGTATTTTTTATTGCAAACTGCAACGGAGATCTTGAAATTTGGGATACGAATGGTAAGTTGTAGGTTGATGTGATTTATTGATTAATTATGAAGTTATTTTCCTTTCCAACTCCAGTTCGAATTGATGCTCCTTGTCTACAAGTCAATTTGGGTGGAAATATTCTCACGTATATATCTCAGCATAAGCTACCAGGACCGAAGAAATTCCTAGCCGTAGCTGATTATAACAGCAATATACGTATTCTTACGATTCCGAATACCTTCTCTGAACCAATTCCGAATGAAGTGAAGGTAAGTAGATCCTGAATAAAAACTTTGTAGGGGAATTGGCTCTAATGTTTTCCTATGGATTTCAAGATTGGGTCCATCGATAAAAGAAGAACAGGATATCTTAATTTAAATGAATATTTCTGGTTGCTAATGAAAAACTGGCATGAGGAGATGTCCACATACCTCCTAGACAGTCTAGGGGAAAGGAGGGGGGGGGGGGGTTTCAAATTTCCATTTTTCAATTTTGAAAAATGAATATGAAGCTACGCAGGGGGAGGGGGAGTCTTAAACCTCTCAAAGACTGTCCACGTGGAATGTGGAAATCCCCTAACATGTTTTCCTTCTAAATTTAAATATGGGCTCAATGTTAAGGCTGTGTTTCATTTGGTGATTTTTTACATAAATTTGACCGATGGTAAATTTTCAAATAAACTGGCAGACTTATTTCTGACAGACAACGAATCAATTTTGACCGACGCTTTCTCGAAAATCGGCCGATCAACAACTGAAGGATTTTCAAACATCTTAATTTATTTTCGAAGTGTCAAATCTAAGTGAAAATTTTCCAAATGGAACACAGCCTAAGAACGCTTAGGCTGACATTAGGGATATTACCTTCAAGTAGGGTAATAAATTGAAAATCATTAAATATAATCATAAATATCAAACATAAAAATTGAAGGCAAAGTCGATGTATGCGTTATCTAATTTATATATGTGTTTTGTACCACTATGAAACTATTGCATATAAAAACACTAAAACTTATTGGCCAATCAGCTTGATTGGAGAATAAATTTTCAAGTGTTTTATGACACTAGCCCCAATGACACTAGCCAGAATGTGACACAAACTATACCACCGAGTTTCTTCTTTCAATTCAATTATGACTGAATCTGTGACTAGCAATGCATAACGTTTAGGAAACAGTGCTGAGAATTGTGATTGTCATGGAATGATTTTGATTATATTTGACATTGTCAGTGGAAGAACTGACCCTCAAATAATTCTTCGTCAAAATCTCAATCATTGTTTCGTCAATAACAAAGATTCACCCTGGTTACAAAAACTGCACATGTTCGTCATTAACAGGATTTTCACTGACAATTGACATTATTTCCCTTGATGACGACTTTTAGATTGAGTGAGTGAGTGAGTCAATATCCCCATGTACGGTCGATATTTTGCAGCCTTGATTTCCTATAGACTTCTCTGACATTTGTGAATTGCACAAGGATTAGTGCAGAACTTTGGGAAAATTCAAAGGTTTTCTTGCACTAATACTTACAACTAACCCAAAGCACTGCACTAATACTTGTGCATTTCACAAACGTCAGAAAAGTCTATTAGGATAAACGTGACGAAAATGGGCAGGGGGGTTGATTTATCCTAAATTTCATGTTTTTTTTTTTTTATATCTTTATTAAGGAGATTTTCAGCCGTTGGCTGGCTCGTCTCCGATAAATTTCATGTGACGTACTTAATGCACGTTCCCCAAATCAGCGATTTTATGATTCGTGAGTGTGAATAAGTTTCGAAATAGGTCCAAAAACACGCAGATTTCCTGTAATTTTTCACCGAAAATCTGTCGAAAATTACAGGAAATTTATGAAAAATCACTAAACTGCTTACCGAACGTTCAACTGTTGCTATTGCGGTAAAATTACACAGATTTCGGTAAAATAATCTCAGTGTGTAGGCGTGTGAAGGTTGATAAGGTTTCTATTTTACTAGAACTAGATGCCATTTTTCGGACGTGGACAACTACTAAAGCTTGAGTAATTTAATATCTGGACGCAAAAAACCTTATCTCGGAACCATCTTAATGAAATAGAAATGTTGAGTACTGAAAATGAAAGTAATTTATTATTCTTTTAAGGAAAATTAACAAAAAAAAATATTCTAATTTGGTTTTGATGAAATCTCCGAGGGGGGGGGGGTGACTCTATCTACGATGCAGGTGGTTAGCTGCGCGCACGCTGAGTAGATGGAAAGAAGATTGATGATGGTTCTGAAGATTTCCTGCAAAAAGATGATGCGCGATGCAAGTAGATGCGAGAAATCAAAGAAGATTGATTCGCTAGTGTGATATTTGTTGAACATCTAGAATTAAGATTTAGATGTGTCATCCCCTCCTCGGAAATCTCGAACATTTTTTTCGAATTCCACTCATATTTTGGACACTCTGTTTGCTAACCTGAGCGGCCGTTTTGTTTTAATCATCTCTTCATCTCTGGCGCATCCCGAGTCACCTTTCCACTCTTCTTCAACTTCTGTTTGACAATTGCACAATATTTCTCAATTGGGCGGAGTTGAGGAGGGCAGTTGGGTGGATAGATGTGCTTTTCGAAGAAATCCACCCCGTTGTCTCGATACCACTGTTGAACTTCTTCGCTGTAGTGGCCGAGAAAAAAATCCTTATTCTGATGTAAACAAACGGTTTGGTAGACATTTCTTCTCGAACTCGCGTGGCGCACTCTACGTTGGTGGTGCATTAAAAAGGCCTCTTGGCTCTGGAATTGACAGCTAGGGTTGGGGCCCGCGTAGGGCAGAGTCGATGTTATAATAAGAGTCCCGCCAAGAGAAAATGTTTCGAACAAGCAGTTACCGCTCAACTTCCGAGCCAAGCAGACGCTTTTACGCTACAGCTAATTCTGGAAGTCGATCCCAAGCTTAAATTCTTTTCGTTTCGCTGCGTTATCTCATCGCCGAGCCGTTGTGTGTTTCTGCGTACTACGACTCTGCGATGGTGCGCCGCGAGAACACATTCCGCATAGATTATGCGGCTATGCCAAAAAAACCGGACTATGCGAAGGTGCAAAATTTCGTTGGAACTGTTCTGGGCTTAAAGCCAGGTGAAGTGATACGAATTCAGTGTAGCCGAAGTCTCGGATGTGCTTTCGTGAAGGTCGTCGACCTGGCGTTGGCACAAAAAGTGTGCAAAGAACACGACGGAAAACACGAAGTGATAGTGGAGGGAGGGAAGAAGATCCCCCTGCGAATAACGATGGAGGACGGAGCAGTGGAGGTGAAGATATTCGATCTGTCTGAGGACGTGTCGGACGATGCGATCACAAAATTCCTATCCGCTTACGGTGACGTCATCTCCGTGCGTGAACAGATGTGCGGTAATGACCAACAATTTCAATTTCCGAATATCTCCACTGGTGTTCGGATTGCGAAAATGATTGTAAAGCACAACATTGAGTCGTGGGTCTTCGTAGATGGTGAATAGACGTTCCTATCTTATTTTGGCCAACGTCAAACCTGCTGACACGTCGGCGCGTCCTGCGTACAGAACAAAAAGCTGCTTGTTCAAAAATCGTATGCCGATGCGACGAAACAGCCAGCAGCAATGTCAACAAAAACAATTGCGAAGCCGCCAGCCTCAAAACCAGCGTTGCCGAGTCAATCTACGTCGGGACTGAGATACCCGCCACCGAAGAAGCAGAAGCAGCAGCAACAAAACCGATCGACACACAATCGGAACTAAATTTTCCACCGCTTACTACCCCAATCATACCCATATCGGGTTCGAAGCAACCATCGGATAGCAGGTCGTTGTCTAATACTTCTGGTCAACAACCTCCTGTTACTGGCAAAGCCGATGGCATCGAGACAGACGAATCAGCAATGTCAACCAACAGCACACGTTCGAGAGGGCGCCGTCAAACTAGGAAACGGAGAGACGGCAGCGACGACGAGCGAGATCAAGACTTTTGAAAATGGATCAGTTCGCCAGTTACAACGTTGCCACCATAAATATAAACACGATCACCAACGAAACGAAACTCAACGCCCTCCGATCTTTTTGTAGAACGATGGAACTCGACATCGTTTTTCTGCAAGAAGTGGAGAACGAGCAGCTCTCCATTCCTGGCTACAACCTCGTCGCAAACGTTGATCACACAAGGAGAGGAACGGCGATAGCGCTGAAGGAGTACATACGTTTCTCTCATGTCGAGAAGAGCTTAGATGGACGACTTGTTGCTCTCCGCATCGAAAACACGACTCTAGCCAACATAAACGCACCGTCGGGCACAGCCATGCGCGCCGAACGAGAGCGTTATTTCAATAATACCATTGCATTCTATCTGCGGCACAATACAGAAAATATACTCCTCGCCGGCGACTTCAACTGTGTACTGCGACCATGTGACTCATCGGGCTACAATAACAGTCCCGCTCTCCAATCCACCATACAGCAGCTTCAACTAAGCGACGTCTGGGTGAAGCTGTATCCCACGACCCCCTCGCCCACATATATAACACACAACTCTGTCTCTCGGCTCGATCGTATGTACGTCAGCAATGGACTCTGCACAAAACTGCGAAATGCAGCCACACACGTGTATTCGTTCACGAATCACAAAGCGCTTACTGCTCGAATATGCCTCCCCAGCCTTGGCCGCGAACCTGGTCGCGGTTATTGGTCATTGCGTCCTCACCTTCTGAATGCAGAAAACGTCGACGAGTTCCAGATTACATGGCAATATGTAACCCGACAGAGACGGAACTTTCCAAATTGGATCATGTGGTGGCTGTCATACGCTAAGCCGAAAATCCAGTCCTTCTTCCGATGGAAATCTCGCGAGGCATACGGCGAGTTTAATGCAGAACACCAACGACTGTACTCGCAGCTTCAGCAAGCGTATGATGGTTATTTCCAGAATCCAGCGATGATAGCTACGATTAACCGCGTGAAAGCACAGATGCTCGCACACCAGCGCAGCTTCTCGCAGAACTTCATGCGCTTCAACGATACCTTCATTGCAGGTGAAAACATTAGCACGTTTCAGCTAGGAGAACGACGAAGGAAAAAAACCGTTATCACAGAGCTGCGTGGCGAAAACAACGAAACTCTAAACACCTCCGAAGCAATCGAAAACCATCTGTTTCGTTACTTCAAGGAATTATACACAGCGACAGAAGAAAATGATGGAGCACGGCACCCTTTCCAATGCGAGAGAGCGGTACCCGAAAATGACGAGTGCAACGAAGCTTGCGTGGCAGAAATTACAACATCCGAGATCAATTGTTATACTGACATGCAGGTTAAAAAACCTGTTTAAAATACTGAATTGCCAAGACAGGAACAATGTAAATAACTTAGATATATATCATAACAATTAAGGCTGGTACGTTACTGCAGTAACTGGAGCACCTAGGTTAAAATGAAATGTAATTTATTTTGAATTTGGAACAAATAAAGAGTTAAAAAAAAAAAACAACATCCGAGATTTTGTCGTCTATTCGTACATCGGCTAAGAGGAAGGCTGCGGAAAGGACGGGTTACCCGTCGAATTTTACCAAGGTACATTCGATGTCATCCACCGAGAACTGAACCTCGTATTAAATGAGGCTCTGACAAATGAGCTACCCCCTGAGTTCGCCAACGGAGTAATTGTGTTAGTGCGAAAGAGAGGAACGGCAAACACCGCTCGAGGATACCGCCCGATCAGCCTTCTGAATGCGGACTTTAAAATTCTCAGTAGGATTCTGAAAGCACGTCTCGAGCTCGTGATGAGGACTCACCGCGTGCTGAGTGGTGCACAAAAATGTTCCAACGATGGACATTCAATTTTCGAAGCCACTCTTTCTCTGAAAGATCGAATTGCTCAGCTGATAGCGAGGAAGCAAAAAGGGAAGCTGTTTAGCTACGATCTCGATCATGCTTTCGATCGGGTATCCCTTTCTTTCCTTCACGAAACAATGCGGCAGCTGGGAATAAACACAACCTTCGTCAGTTTACTTGCTCGAATTGCCGATCAATCCTTTTCTCGTTTGCTAGTTAATGGACATCTTTCGCATCGTTTCCCCATCGAACGGTCGGTCCGACAGGGAGACCCGTTGTCGATGTTACTTTTTGTCATTCTTCATCCGTTCCTGCAACAGCTAGAGCGACAACTCGGTACTGACCTAGTGGTGGCGTATGCAGATGATGTATCTGTGATAGTCACCAATATACATGTGATTGAACGCATCAATGGACTCTTTGACGATTTTGAACGAGCCGCTGGTGCAAAACTAAACAGACTGAAAACGGTTGCAATCGACGTCGGGCTCATTGATGGAGATCCACTGAATGTGCCGTGGTTGCAAACTGCAGAAAAGGTAAAGATCCTGGGCGTGTTTTTTACCAATTCAATTCGCACAATGATTAAAATTAATTGGGATGCGCTTGTATCCAAATTCGCACAGCAGTTGTGGTTGCACTCGCTGAGGAATCTCAATCTTCAACAAAAAGTGATACTATTGAACACCTTCATAACGGCAAAGATCTGGTATGTGGCATCCATCCTCCCGCCGTATTGTGTTCACACGGCGAAAATAACGGCAACTATGGGCTCATTTTTGTGGCGCGGACTGCCAGCGCGGGTTCCAATGGAACAACTGGCGCGTGACAGAGCATCTGGCGGAATGAAGCTGCAGCTACCAGCATTGAAGTGCAAAGCGCTGCTAGTGAATCGTCACATACAGGCACGGGGCTCCCTTCCGTTCTATCAATCCCTTCTCAACCAAGGAATTTCTCCCCCCGCAGACCTTCCCTGCCTCAAGTTAATTTCCCAGCAAATTCCTCTACTCTCACCATTTGTTCGAGAGCACCCCTCTAGTGAACAAATACATCGCCTGTTTTGGAGCGAACGGAAAAATCCTGGCACGAACTGGAAGCGTATATGGTTAAACATCGCAACGAAACAGCTGTCATCGAGCTTATACTTGCTCATAAATGCGAAGACAGAGCACCGAAAATTGATGGGAATCATCCAACGTGCGGACGGTGAGAATTGTTTGCATTGCAATGCTGTGGTTGAAACGCTGCAACACAAATTCAGTGTCTGCCCTCGAGTAGCACACGCATGGGCTTTTGTACAACAGAAGATGACGATGATACTTGGAGGTTGGCAACGACTGTCTTTCGAAGAATTGCTGCGCCCAGCACTATTAAACATAGGACCAACAAAACGAAGTCAAATATTGAAGATGCTTATATTATACATCACCTATGTTAATGAAGTTAACGTTAGAATCGATGTTAGTGCACTTGAATTCTACTTAATATGTGAAAACTAAATTATTTTGTAAATAATCTTTTAAGAACATTGAAATAAACGATACAATTTTACAAAAAAAAAAAAACAAGCAGCACTGTTTGTGACTTATTTTTCGTCAGAGTAAACGGCAACCAGATTTTTTGCGTTAGCATCTGGGGGGGGGGGGACGTGCTGTCAAATCAGCCTACTGATCATCTTGTATGAAACTGGTTCCAAACGTAAACAAACGCTGTAGGTTTCTTATGGCTTGTTTACGTTTGGAACCAGTTATGCGAGGTTGGCGAAGATTGTTCGTATTTGACAGCCACCTCCCCCCCTTGGTTAGCATCGGATGACTTTCATTCAGAAGTGAAAAATTTCATGTCGATAACGGAGCTTCTGGTAGACAAAAACAATTATAGAAGCTGAAAAATGTTCAAACAAGTGCTTGGTATAACTTATAAATATCACAATGTACTAAATAAAGCAAAGAAAATAATGTTTTTCATCTAAAATTGCTAAAATATTGTCAGTAACGAATGCAATACTTGTAGTTCACTGGCTGTGGGAACAATAATGTTTATTTACTTTGCTCATTTGGTACTCCGCTTGACAATTCGATTGGTACTTCTGGCCAAGGTGACTACATATAGGTGTTCTAATGTGTCAAATTCATGATTCAGCCATGTTGGATTTTTGTATGGGACAGCGACCGAGTTTGTTTACAATTTGCTCTAAAACCGCACATCCCCCCCCCCCCCCCCGCGATCTCCTCGTCTATATAGAGACAAAGCTGTATCACCATGTATATACCCACCATGCTTCTGGCTTCACTCTTGCCGGGACGGGACTCTTATTATAACATTGACTCTGATCATGACATTAGACAAGAAAACATCCAGACATTAAGAATGATGTACGAATGAGAAGAAGACATGGACAAAGACAGACCAGCGATTACCGAACCATTTTCAAGAAGATTATGATTAATCAAGATCGTGAATCCGGTGTTTAATTGGTCACCATAGACTAATCCGTCCGGCATCGTAGTCACTTGAAAAATTTTCTCATCAACCCCGATCATTGCAATCCTATGGGGACAAAAAAAAAAAAAAAAAAAAAAAAACAGCAGAAACAGCTTAACATAAAAGTTCATTATGTCATTTCAATCTTCCTTAGCTTAGCTTATTGCTTTTACCGAAATAAATAAGGAAAATGTGTAGTAAATGAAAACTAATTTGTCTATACCTTTGCAGAAATTTAAAAAGTTCATTCGACACGAACTAACCCGCAAGCAATCACAAGACGAATGGATACAGTCGTACTATGAGGCTCACAAAGAGACTGTTGAGGCACAGCTGAAGGCAAAACACGAGGCCAAGGAACTTGCCGAGCGTATGGAAATTGAGCAGAAGGAACATGATGAGTACATGAAACGTCAAGCTGTAGAAGAAGCCAAGAAAAAAGCTATCAGAGATTCTGAGAAAAGAGTTGATCTGGCAAAACGTTTGGATGTAAAATGGAGGCAAAAGAGCTATAAAAGGCTAATGCGCAGCATGATGACAAGACGGAACATTAGCCCGGATCAATTAGCTAAACAGATGAAACCTGAAAAAGAAAGAAGAAAGTATAATGATGAGAAACGTTGTGCAATCGCGGAAGATCTGGCACGAATCGAAGAAGACTACAAGGAAATAAAGGCGCAACTAATTCCAGTTGGTAAGGTAATAGTGACCAGGGCAGAGCAATTGAAAGGTCGCATGGATAAATACAAGGAGGAAATGATGGACTATTACCGAGTTGAGGATGAAGCAAGAGAAGTTCTCGAAAACTTTCAGCTACCACAATTGGCACGTTTTACTGACATTTTAATCAAAGGCCGGCAACGAAGAGAAGTGATAAGTCGAGAATTAGGAGCAAACATAGAGCACTTGGAAAGTTACGAACGGAAAAAAATGCAGCGCCTGATGATTGCTAACGAGGCACGTGGTGACACAGATAGTACTGTCAGCAATACGAGTCCAGACGCTTTACAACGCGCACGGTCAGTCACCTTTATCGACGATGTTCCGGATGAACTGCGTAGACAAATGTCGCAAGAGCAAGAACTAGAATCAGGTCGAAAAAATACACCGGTTAATGACGAATAGAAACGGTCCGCACACGCGGAAGGAATAATATATTACATGTCATTGGTTTTTGAGTTTCAGTTCATATTCATAGCATGCGAACCCTGCAAAATGTGACCGGTATAATGGTGGTTTCTTTTCCTGACCAACAAAACTAAATTGGAAATTCGGAACACGCTGCAAGTCCAGTTTTTGTTTTTTGAATACGAAGCAAACAAGCAGATTGATTGGATTTTTGTTGTGTCGCACAATGCGTGGCACATTATTTTTTGTTATACTCTGACGTTGCTGCGGCATTATATAAACTAGGTATACGTAAGTTGTAGGTTGTAGGGTGTGTGAAAATAAATATTATTGTAAACAGGGTATTTAATTTCTAAAATACAATCATACAATAGATGTGGAGTGATTATGTTTTGCCCCAATATGTGGTAATATTTTATTTATATAGGTATCACATTTCATTCTTGAGAAAACTGATTTTGATGAGCAAGAAGACACACAGAAAGTAAAATAAAAAAAAAAAAAAACTTATTTCGAATTGAGTTTAATCCTCATGGGGAGTTACTAAACCAAGACTGGTAACAGCTATCGTACGAAAAGTCTGTTGAGAAAAATTTATCAATATTTTAAAAATAAACTAATAAAAAGCAATTCAGCATCAGCACTGTCAGATTTTTTTCCCTTGATTTGTTTTCCGTCGATCTTGTTTTCCGTGCTGAGCACCAATGCTACCGACACCAGGGAGGCAGCTCCCACACCTGGTCCCTACCTATCGACCCATCAAATCATGAACCGGGGAATCAACGGCTTTACTTCCCGAAGGAAGGTGGGATCAGAGATGTTATGCCTCAGAACATCTCGGCGGTGCCGACTGGGATTGAACCAAGGCCTGCTGGGGTGAGAGGTAATCACGCTTACCAATACACCACCGGCGCCGCTGCACTACCGGATACTAAGTGTAAGTAGTCGAGCAGACCGGTTCGAAAAAACGTCATTTATATGAAGAGGTTATTATTTTCATGGTTTTAACTGGAGATAGTAGTTGCCACAGAGTTTGAATATTCATTTGATTGTATGTGCATAGTAGGGTGCCAATGCTTTTTTTTTAACGAACCATATACCAAATGTCCATTGCTTCGAAAAAGGCTCAAACGGACATGATTTAGGGGTCAAAGCTTGTACTTTTTCATCTAAAAAATATCAAAAAAATAAGATGCATGACATTTCGGAAATAGATTTTTTTTATGCCAAATGTCTTAACGTCTTTACAAAGAAACATCGAGATCTACACAAAACGAAAATCAATTATTTTATTCACGTGTTTCACTTATACATTTTTGCCAAAACATTAGCCTTATACATTCCATAAGACAAACCATATCGGTCCTATAAGAATGCATAAAAGGTATGAGTGACCGCTTATACATTTCATTTGACACGTGATCTTCATTAACTTTTTGCAAGGTGTCTGCTTATTAGTTGACTTATACATTTTATGAATAATCAGCAATAGAAATTTGCCAAAAGGTACACGCAGAGAAATGATTTTTAAATTCAAATGGATATATTTTTGGCTCAGCGCTTATATATTATTGGTATTGATTCAAATATATTATTCGGTTGATTCAAAGAAAAATATTTTTGAATCACCAACCGGTTGTTGCTTCAAAAATATGTTTTGTTGAAATAGTGATACAATATGTTTGAATCAATATCAAAATACATTAAGCCCTGAAACAAAAATCCATTTTTCTGCGTGAAAGAGATTTCTATCCGTGTAGTTTTAACTCGAATTGTCGAAAATCGACTATCAAAAACTTTTGGGAGTTTAATGCATGAAATGGCGAGATTTAGTATTACCTCGTTTTTTTTTGGCAAACATCTGGAAGATTTTGATTTTTTTTTCGGAAGTTCACGAGACCCAGAAAGTAAATTTTGGACAAGAGTTTCTTTATAATAACACTAGATCTCGACGTTTCATGCATTTTTAAGACATTTGGAATAAAAAAAGTTTTCAATTTCCAAAATGCCATGTAGGGTACGTGTTCAAGTTGTTGGCCCTAGTGGTCTTCTAATTGGTCCTATCTTAAATTTCACATTTTTCATTATTTTCAAAACTTATTTCCATAAATGGTTAGAACATAGATTTTACCATATGTCTACGTAAATAAAACCATCAAAAACTAATTCAGATTTTATTAACGTCCTAGAGCCAACACTGGCACATTTACCCTTTCGTGGGATATTTGTTATTCTACTTTGGGATATTTTTCAGATGGAATAAATTAACCGCTGTGCGGCACCTCATGTCCAATTCAGCCCAAATATTGCATATGTTGTAAAAATGTAAAAACTTCGATGGTTTTTTTCCATTTCATTGGCACCCTAATACATGGGTACCTAATTTATTTTTGCATCTCGCTGTATCATTAGCACTACGGGGAATCTCCATACAACGAGGTGGGCAAAATTATTTGCTTGCTTATTCTGCATTATTTGACAAGTTTTGTATTAGTGTGTGCCTACACGAATGAATTAATATCATTTTGAGATCCTGAAGTCAACTAGGTTCTCCAAAACATCCGGAAGTTAAGATCTTGATGTTCTATAGACTCAATGTTCCCGACATATCCAACACATCATCCGACCTTTGTAAAGCTTCACGATTACATACACATCATATAATGGTAATAATAAGATATTTAATGTTCTACAAACTATTCTGGAGCTATGATCTTGAAGTTCTACAGGCTCAATATAGTATTGAATAATGTTCTGAATTTTTTTATGAGTCTGTAAAGCTCAAGAGAGCATATTGACAACATTTTTTTTTTCTTTATTAAAGAGATTTTTAGCCATAGGCTAGTTCATCTCTTATATTGACAACATGCACATCATGGAATGGTAATATTAAAATATTTCTTTTGATCTCCAAAGTGTGCAGGAGTTGGATGAGTCCGTGAAGCTCAAGTGAGCCTCTGAATGTCCATCATGGATTGATATCAATCAGATTTGTTATATTCTCCAAACTATTCTGGGCCGATGATCTTCAAATTCTACAGAAAGAATGTAGCCTTGAACAATGTCCTGAAAATCTGTATGAGGCCATTAACCTCAAAAAAGCCTCTTAACAACATTGTCCTGAAAATCTGTATGAGGCCATTAACCTCAAAAAAGCCTCTTAACAACATGCACATAATTAAAATCACATTAACTGTTTTGGAGATTTTGAATTTCTACTGACCAAATAAAGTCTTGAAAATCTGCATGAGTCCGTGAAGTTCAAAAGAGGCTTTTGAGAACATCCACATTATCGAATGGATTTGTTTTCTTGTGTCATTCGTGACTTGCCCAGGGATGAGATTTGAACTTGTGACTATAGCGTGAGAGAATGGATCTTAACTTGGGGTCGTCTCCCATAAGATTGTTAATGCTCTCCTATCTATAATAGAGCTATGATCCCGAAGTTCTACAGGCTCAATAAAGTCTTGAACCATGTCTAGAAAAAATCCGTCAGTGAAGCAGATAACATAAACATAATAGAATAGTATCAATAAGATATTTGATGCTCTCCAAACTATTTTGGAGTTCTGTAGGTACAATGACGTCTTGAACAATAACCTGAAATTCTTCATGAGTCGGAAAATCTCAAGAGATGATAACATGTGCATCAAGGAATAATATAAATAATCTCATTATAGACATTGATAAGTCTATCGAACGAAGGATAATATCGAGAAAAAAAGGTATGGAGTTATCAATAGTTATAATCAGTATTACCATGTCGGTGGTGTAGTGGTAACCGTGACGGCTTTCTCACCCCAATGGGTCTGGGTTCAATCCCAGCCAAGGTCGGTGAGATTTTTCTGTGGCATAAAAATCTCTGGTCACGTCTTCCTTCGGAAGGGAAGTGAAGTCATTGGTCCCGGCCCATGTATATTGAATTGAATGGGTGCGATATCCTACGCAGGTGTGGAAGCTGCCTTCCTGCACATTCTATTGCCATCAATAGCAATCGATGTCCGTCGGTGATTGGCACTAGATTGCAGAACAGAGACCGACTTTAAATAAAGGAAAGTAAAAAATGTATATAATTAAAACCGCTCGGTATTCCTCGGCATTATCAGATTATGGTCAACGTGAAGTGTGAGAGGAAGTTGATTTTTTATTTTCTCATCGGTAACAATTAAGTAAGAATTTATTTGGCCTGTCATTTCCACAAACAAAAATTGCTTACGTATTTCTTTTAATTGTCCATTTCATGCAGCAATTGTAACAGACAATACATTTACAGAAACCATGTGAATAGCAATTTATTTCATACGAATAATGCATCTAGAATTATTTACGATCAAATATTCAGCATTCCGTCCATATGCAAAATAAAGCAAGTATTTGGCCTTTCCATCAATCACATCACATATCAATTGGCCAAACAGCAGTTAAATGTTTGTTTTTAATGGTGAAGGTAGATTTTAGACAAAAATATTTGGTCGAGTACAAAGGGGACGAATATTGACAAAAATGACCCCCTTGCATGTCGTTCAAGTAATCGTAAGTTCGGTAGCGCAGTTACTCTTTCTAGGCATCCTGATCATAATCGTAAGTATTCTCCTGAATGTAAATTGTATTATTTTTTTTTTTGTAGCTGTGCCAGTTTTTGGCACCAGCACCTATTAAAACTATCTTAAATTTTAATTTTTTATGATTATTTTACAATTTTTTTTTTTCGATACGTTAGACCGTAGATTTTGCCATACATCTAATTAAAACCAAGAAAATTTATTTCAAATTTGAGTTAGGCTTTTTGGAAAGCTTAAAATATAAGCTTTCTGGAATACTTTCAAACATAAGAAAAAATCTGTACAATTGAAAGAAAACTGAGATGGAATTTATTATTGGCCCTCATTACGGGTGTCACTTCACGGTGAAATGATTCCCGTGCAAATCAAATGGGTACTAAAACGAATGGGGGTTTTCTTTGTTGAATAGATGGATGAATATGAATCACGAATCGGAGAAAGTTAATTATCGATTATTGGCCACCTGAATTCCTATAGTGCATGGGTCGGAGAACAATTTCGCTCTTTCAGTGCATACTGATCCAGTTTTTCTACATCCAAAGACAAAAGAGAGCAGCATGGTGGTTGTGGTAGTCACTGATATGCATCGTAGTATGACAAGCATGATCCGACCGTTTCATAAATGTCAAGGATGAATGTTAACGAGATGCAAACTCTCGGATTTCCGGCAGACATTCGCGTAACGCGAGATTATTGGATGAAAGATGGACTTATGCTACTCTCCTGTGATGTGTGTCTC